GATTGCGAGTGGATTTGATTCAAAAGATGTAAATCTTAGGTTTATCTATGTGTGAACGTGCACTCAAGAATGAATATATCCATTCTAGACGAGAAACGCACCGAAACAAAATGAACCCACATGAGGTTGAGCAAAAATCAGGACAAATCAGACCGGAATCGAGTTAGAAAAAGACACTTTGATGTAATATCTGATCTACTCGTGCAGATTCATGTTAAATATCTAGTTCATAGACCAATTTGAGTTATAACTTTACTAAAATGGATTATTTCGATCATAGCTCTCATGAATGGGTCTTTTTCTTCACTCCGTTATTAAGTTGATCGAAAGTTTTTGGGGGCGTCGCTTGAGCTGTACCAGATCGGATGCATTTAGCTTCAGTATCGCCATATAATATTAGTAAGTAGTAATTAAATGCCGCTTTCTTGGTGATACTTCCAAGCAAGTTTTCTATTTATGTTCGGTTATCAATCGTGTTTTCCATGAAAATCATTTCGAAGCTATAAAATGTGAAGTCTCGCAGCTAGATAGTTTTGAATAGCTACGTTCCACATGACTAAATCCTTTCAGTAGAGGGTTGGCAACGCAAACATCGCGTTACCTTGTTCTGATGTAAGTTGACTGAAAAAAGGTATTTCGGAGAAGATTTCATCAATTTGCATTGATGAATTTTATTGTTTTCCTACATCCACTGATAGAAACAGTATACTATTTATCATCGATGAATGACTACCCAGGCCGATCAAAACGGACCACCGTAAACCGGCGTAATACTACCTTAAACGGTCGTTTTTGCATCGTATTCCGTCGTGAAGCGGCCGTTTCAAGCCGAATTAAGGCGTTTTAGCAGGGGCAGTAGTACGGACATATACGGACACTATATATCAGGCGTAAAACCTCGTAAAGCAGGCGTAATATTATCGTATTCTATAGAACATACGGCCGTATTACTGTCCCTGGTATACGGGGAAAATGCGGCCCGTTTTACGTGCCGTATTTGTATCGTATACGGCCGTTTACTGATCGTTTTCTTCGAGCGGGGTACATACCGTTGCTAAAAACGAGTACCTATAGGCAGCACCAAGAAGCTAGTTCGATAAACGATATACGAAATGACAAAAAACAATACACCGACTGGGAATCGAACCGAAATTCTATTCAGATATTGACACCATTTATGGTAGAATATACTTGAAGAATTCGATTCGTTTGATGATCTGATAGTGGAACTATTTTACGGGTCTCCCGCTTGGAGAGCGAGTATTCTACCATTGAACCACCAGTGCTTGTTAATAGTTCATTGTGCATACATGGCTAGCATCATGCTAAAAGTTTGAGTTAGGAATATCAATTCAGCGAAAAAAAGAAAGACTTGATTGCTTGATGGCAATATCTATATCATTATTTATCCAGTAGCTTGATCTCATAATGACGATATTGTTAGAACCCGGTAAACTACCACCAGAAATACTCATAAAGAAAGATATAGAGTGACGAGTAGTTAGTTTCGAAAGAATTTGTTTGTTGCTGATTTTGATCAAAATAAAACCGGACGTGAATTCAGTGAGTAAAAATATTTAGAAATATTTTTTCGATAGTTAATCAAATAAAGGCGGTAGAAAAAAAAGGTGCACTAGCCGGGAATCGGACCCGGGTCGCCCGCGTGGCAGGCGAGCATTCTACCACTGAACCACCAGTGCATGTCTAGTCATCCTTTTTAACTTGCTCATAACGATATTACTTTCGAGACGACACAGCAATGACAGGACACGTTTAAAAAAAGTATAAGTTAGATAGCTACTATTGAATTCGTGTTTTTCCTGATCCAATGCTATCGAAAAACATACTTGAATTGATTTTGTGTCGAATACAGTTTTTAATGAAATAAAATGAATAAATAAGTATCATTTTTTTACTAGGTAGTAATCGTTATCCTATAATTTTAATGTTCCTCGATCATGATAAAAATGCTCTGGCTACATTGAAATTACTGATTAAATACCAGTTTTTTTTTCATCGTTCGACAATGATGCCTCATTTATTATATTAATATATCGAAGTCTCAGATTAGAAACCGAAACGTTGAATCGTAACGATTTATTAGATATGCACTGATGGTTCAGTGGTAGAATGCTCGCCTCCCACGCGGGTGACTCGGGTTCGATAAGAGCTATTCAAAAACCTACATAAACGTTCTCTTCTGTTTTTCAACACTGATTTGTTCCATGCGACAACTTATTTTTGGAACAATATCATTCCCGGTCAGTGCAGTTTGGATTGAGTGCAAGAATTTTTTTTTCTGTTGTTGAATGAAAAATCAATTATTTTTCTAATCTTAATAAATTATTGAAATATTCATTTACATTCTATTGCACTGTAAATAGAAGAAAAAAACGATTAAAAAAGAATTAAATATCGAAACGAACAAAAAGAAAAACGAAAATCATGCTCGTTGAAATGCAAAATAATTACTAAGAATCAAATGTTGATACATTTTCTTGTTGTTGAGCATGATTCAAAGCTTGCTCAAGTTCTTTTAAATTCAATTTCAAGGATTCAACTTCGTCGAGACGTCCAGCTATCTGTGCTTGTCGAATATATTCTGTTACTTGATAAACTTGTTGAACGAGTGGATTCAGTTCTTGTGCTTGTACTAATAAATTACGATCAATTGTTGGTCTCCAACCAGACACTTCTTTTTTCTTTACTGTCGGCGAATCAGTTAGTGGTATTCGTGAAGCTAATTCAGCTTTAGCCGCACGTTCTGATTCAATTCGTTCTTCAATTAATCGTTTCCGTTCTTCGCGTGCTCTTTTAACATCCTCTTCACTTGGCACACGTCTCGTTGATATAGCGAAATTTTGTAACACATGTATTGCATACATTCGCATGTTTCGACAAAGAGCTGAATAACGAATTATTGATTGAGTATCATCTTCATCGATATTTAGACATGAATCAGCTAATTTTGAAATATGTTTTCTAAATAATAAGGTGAAAGAAAAGATTTCTCAAGTGATTTTCAACATACGATGTAGAATCAATTTTGTCATAACAAGTACTTAATTGTCGGTATAATTTTTGTGCATCAACTATTTGATATTTTGTATCACCATTTCTAAAAGAATGAAAAAATTAGAATTGCTATTTTAATGATTTTCAAAACAAAAACTTCCATACAAAAGAGATTCAATCATAGTAGAATATGTTGAATGAATTTCGTCAAGTATTTTTTTTGCTTCAACAATTTTCTAATCGAAACAAAAAAACAGCAATATGTTAAAGGTATAGTTGAAAATTAAAAAGATAACTTACTTCATAAGAAACAAAAACTTCATCGCGTTGAGTATTTTTAAAACATATTTGATCATAACGTCTCTGTAACACTTTTTGACATGATAAACAAATACGAAGATAATCTTCATTATTCGTTCTATCTTTATAAGCTGAGTTGTCAGCAGTTGTTGAATTTAAACTTGTCAAACTATTCGAACGTTGAAGCGATAAACCATTTGGTAATGATGATGATGTACTTGGCTCAATTAAATATCCTTAAATTTAGAATATTTATTGTAAAATGATACATATTAATCTTTTAAATAAAAGCAAAAATTGTACATGAACATTCGATCTCTCAATATTTTCTTTCAATACAACCGAAAAATATTTGTTGGATTCTTTACAAATTCACATGCCTCATTTAAACAGTAAAAACATATCTTATTTGTTTAGTATCAGATTTTCTCACATATAAGATGCCACTCATTCAGTTCAAAATTAGCAGTGAATAAAAACTTAAGCAGTTCGATGAAATCATCAATGTTGTTTATCGATAAAATAAATATTTCCTTTCGAGTTTTCTCTATAATCAATAATCCATTATGAATAATAAAATACGAAGTCAGTCCTAATGCAAAATTTGACATTACATAAATGATGCATTCTTGATGCAACACATATAGATTATGTCAGTATTGTCTCATAAAAACTAAATTGCAATTCATCTACTTTGTACATAGTTATAGTAAATAAGATTCCTGTTAGTTGTCACTAATATCTATATTGAATAATTATATCTTACGAGCTTTTGAAAATAGAAGAAATCTTGAGCATGGATCACAAATAACAAATCCATCAAGGCGACAATGATGTTTTCGCCTGGATAAATTAAATGACTTAGCACACGATGGACATAATGTAACTTTTGCATCATCGATCCATTCGACAATGTCTTGTTCGTATTCTATAACAAGATTTTTGTTTTATTACATTTAATAAAAAAAAATTTCTTTCAATTTTTACTTCGACGTTCTTTTGTATTAGCATTTTTCGGTATGTTTTCGCCAGTGCTTATTAATTTTTCGATTCGAAGCAAAAGACGAGTCGTTTCAATGGATATTTGATCGTGTTGAGCTTTTCGTTCTTTCTTAAATCTATCAGTATATGAACGAATATATCCAATTTGTTGTGGTTTTGATGATGAATCATTTTGATCAGAAGAGAAATATTGCGCATAATTATTTGTTTGCTCATTAGGAATGTTTGTAAAATTATCTTGTACACTTTTGATTTTTTGTTTTGCAAATGAAAATAAACCTAAATAAAAATAAAAGAATTATATACATAAATCAAGTGAAAATAAATACCTTTCACAGTCGACGATGATTGTTTCATATGAATATCTTGAAAATGTACTTGTAACATTTCCATCGTCGACATATCTTGATGACATTGTGGGCATATGAACCCTTCTCGTACATCACCCACTGCTTGCAACATATTTGTTCTAGTCGAGCGATCTATGCTCGCTTATCATCGGCACTTGCGTTTTTTTTTTAGTATACTACTAATGACATCTATTTTTTGTCAAATAAAAACCCTTTTTAAATAAAAATAAATTCTGAATTTTAAAAATTGCTCATAGAATTTTATCATTTTCTATCATTATAATTAATTTAAGAAGAGCGACCAATCCGATATCATTAGTTACCTTCTGTTTACTTTTTCTTTAATCATTTTGTGTTGCTTAGTCATTCAGCTTAAAAGCATGGAAGATCTTGGTATGTTTATTCTTTGTTCTGAATTTACACTGCATAATTTTCGTTTGTTGGTCAGATCAACTTTTAGCGGATCTTCAATCGGTTAGTCAACGTGCTCGTAATGCCTATGAAAATAGTCAAAATGAAACTCGCCTTGAACCTATGGTGCTTAATCGAAGTCTTCCAGCCCAACGAAATCAAGTACTGAATTTAATTCGGCCAGATTCAGTTATTGATCCAGTTTGTTTTCCAAGAGAATAAAAATGATAATTTAACTATTTATTTTTTTTCGTTTGATTTTACAGGAGCCAAGCCCAAAAAGTCTAAATGAACTCAATCAACTTCTTGATGCGCTTAGTAAAGCAAGAGAAACTATGAAAAGCGATAGTCAAAGTAAATTTCAGTTTTCAATTCTTTTTTTAACCTTCAACGGTTTGTTGTAAGTAGTTCGAACTTCCCATGGATCGAATTCAACACCAATAAAAGTAATTCATAACATTGAAGATTCATCAATAAAGAGTACTAAGTCAATTGATGATGCGATTGATACTTTAAATGAAACGACTGAAACGATTAAATCTAGTTCTAGAAAAAAGTATTTAAAAAGTTTTCAGTTTTTCACGAATGAAAATTTTATCCAATAGATCATCATCTTCAAAAAATTCATCTAGAAAACCAGCAACGAAAGAATTAGAAGATCTTATGGAATCGTTAAGTAGTTTTAAACTTCCAGCACAGGTTTGATATTTTCTTCAAAAAATTATTTCCTATGGGCTTTTCCAAATTTAATAGACTTCATCAATCACATGTTTACCATCCGACTTAACATCGGCTGTAGAACAAATGCCATCATTAAAAACAACATCTATACCACAACAATATCCTCTTTGTCATTCTTGCCAAAAACCAATTGTTGGACAGGTATTGATCTTTTCGAAAGGATAAGAATAGTTTATCATATATGAAAATATATTTCTAGTATTGAGCTGAGTAGGTATCTCATTATGCCAATGGCTGCCAGATTTTTATTTCTCTACACGCTCGTTGCTATTAATCATCTTTTATTTTTTATTTTGAAGAGTATTCTCATGGTTTTCTCTTCTTGTCTATAGATAATTACAGTACTTGATCGTTCCTATCATCCAGAACATTTACGTTGTACTGCATGTAATATTGAAATTGGCCGAAAAGATTTCTATGAAAAATCTGGGAAGCCCTATTGTGAACTTGATTATCGACGATTATTTGCTCCGAAATGTGCACGTTGCGATGAACCCATAATCGATGTAAATAAAACTTTTATGTTTATTTTATAAATCATCGACCTTTGTTTCAAGGTAATGATTACAGCCTTAAATCGTAACTGGCATCCGGAACATTTTCTCTGCGAACTATGTGAGCGACGAGTTGGAGAAGACGGGTATCATGAAAAAGATGGATATGCCTATTGCCGGCATGTTGATTTTCATCTATAAAAAAAAAAGAAATAGAAAATTTCGCTTATTTTCAGAGAATGTTATATGACTACTTTTGTACCCAAATGTCTTGGTTGTAAACAAGTAATTGTCGACACTTATATTCAAGCACTTGGTGGCCATTATCATAAAAGTTGTTTTGTTTGTCAAGTAAATATCATTAATTTAATTTAGAAACTAGAATCTTTTACCCACAGATATTTTAATTTTTTCTCAATCGTTAAGTTTTGCCAGTAGAAAAGTATTTTATGCCATAGATTATACCGTGAAAGTTTAGAAATTTGATATTGGCTCATAACTATACTAAATTGCTTGTTTCTAGCTCGAATTATGATCTTGCAATATTTAGGAATGTTCTCAACCTTTTTTAACTGGCTCATTCTACGAACATGAACATCAACCATTATGTGAACTACATTATCATCAACGACGTGGTTCACTCTGCTCATCTTGTCAAAAGCCAATTGGGTTTGTTTACAATTTTCTTCTTTACACCAACTAACGATTTTCTATTTTTCTAGTGGTCGTTGTATAACAGCGATGGGTAGAAAATACCACGTTGAACATTTTATTTGCTCCTATTGTACACGACAATTACAAAATGGCACATTTAAAGAGTATCAAAATAAGCCCTATTGTCATCCTTGTTTTGTAAAATTATTTGCTTGAACAGTCTTTCAATTCATATATATATATACATATATAGATAGTGTGTCTAATAAATAAAAAATAATCTGAGTATGATTTAGAAATTATCGGGGGATCTTTTTTTCAGATAAAAACAAAACAAAAATAACAATTTTTAACATCATTCAAAAATGCAACAACCGATGATAATTATTCTTAAAGAAGGTACAGATTCTTCACAAGGCAAATCGCAAGTACTATCCAATATTAGTGCATGTCAAGCTGTTGCTGAAGCTATTCGAACAACATTAGGTCCACGTGGTATGGATAAATTAATCGTTGATAGTCATAGCAAAGCTACGATTTCAAATGATGGTGCAACCATTCTCAAATTACTTGAAATTATTCATCCAGCAGCACGCACGCTTGTTGATATAGCTAAATCACAAGACGCTGAAGTTGGTGATGGTACAACATCAGTTGTTCTATTGACAGTTGAATTATTGAAAAATTCAAGAACATTCATTGAAGATGGAATGCATCCAACAATTATTATTCGTGCTATACGTAAAGCAACAGCATTAGCAATTAAGAAAATAAAAGAAATTGCTGTTCATATTAAAGTCGATGATCCTAAGTAAGATTCGAGTCTTTGTAAATTATGAACTTAAATTTCGATAGAATATCTATATCGGACTTGAAATTTTTTTTTTATTCATTTGAATTCTTGAAAACGTTCTAAATTTGTCTAGAGAACAACGAGCTTTACTTGAGAAATGTGCTCAAACAACATTAAGTTCAAAATTAATTGCACGACAACGAGAATTCTTTGCAAAAATGGTTGTCGATACTGTTCTTATGTTAGATGATTTACTACCATTAAACATGTAAGTTTAATATTTATTAAAAATATTGGATTAAAAATGTTTTGTTTTAATTTAATTTAAGGATTGGAATTAAAAAAGTCATCGGCGGTTCACTTGAGGTATAACATTGAAGAAATAAATATTTAAAGTAAACAACAAACTATGTTTTTTTTTTGTTTAATTTAGGAATCTTGTCTTATTTCTGGTGTTGCATTTAAAAAGACGTTTTCTTATGCTGGTTTTGAAATGCAACAAAAAAAACTTTTAAAACCTAAAATAGCTTTACTTAACATTGAACTTGAACTTAAAGCTGAACGTGACAATGCAGAAATTCGTCTTGATAATGTTGCTGTAAGATTTCGTGCTATTCGCTTTCTTTTGATTTCGATTCTTATTTTTAACTGTTCATATAGGAATATCAAAAAATTGTCGATGCTGAATGGTCAATTCTCTATGATAAACTTGAAAAACTTCATCTAGCTGGTGTTAAAGTAGTACTTTCTAAATTACCTATTGGTGATGTTGCAACACAATATTTTGCTGATCGGTAAAAGAATAGTTTAGTGCCGTATTGATTACTGAATGTTTTTCGTTTTCAGTGATATGTTTTGTGCCGGTCGTGTACAAGAAGATGATCTTAGACGTACACAAAAAGCATGTGGTGGTGCAATCATAACAACAGTCGAAAATCTTAGTGAACAAACACTTGGTACTTCCGAAGTATTCGAAGAAATTCAAATTGGCTCTGAACGTTATAATCTTTTTACTGGTTGTCCTAAAGCTAAAACAGCGACCATGATTTTACGGGGTGGATCGGACCAATTCATTGATGAAGTTGACCGTTCATTACATGATGCCATTATGATCGTACGACGTGCCGTTAAGAATGATTCAATTGTTGCTGGTGGTGGCGCAATTGAAATGGCATTAAGTCGTACTTTACGAGATTTCAGTCGAACTGTAGCAGGCAAAGAACAATTAATTATTGCTGCATATGCCAAAGCATTTGAAGTTATACCAAGACAATTATGTGAAAATGCTGGATTCGATGCAACAAATATTTTAAATAAACTTCGACAAAAGCACGCTGAAAGTAAGTTAAGAAAGCAAATCATTTTCTATAATGATGTTTGTTTGTTCGTAGATAATATTTGGTATGGTGTTGACATAATGCGTGAAGATGTTAGCGACAATTTTAATGCAGCTGTCTGGGAACCAGCTGTTGTTAAAATCAATGCAATAACAGCAGCAAGTGAAGCAGCTTGTTTAATTCTCAGCGTTGATGAAACAATTAAAGTACCAAAATCATCGGCCGAGCCATCGAACGCTGCGAAAGCAATGAATATGGCATAAGTGCCAAATCAAAGAATGACGATCACACTTGTTGTTGTTATTCTTGTTATTCTTGTTATGCGGTTTATTAGTCACTTGGTTTTCTTTTTCTAGGCAACTGTGTATTGTGTGCTTTTTTCCAACTCTCTTTTTTTCAACTACAGTTGACACACAACACGTAAAACAAAACGCATGAGCGTCTAATACTTTCTTTTTTTTATCAACAAAGAAATATATAACCGAACAAAAGAACAAGTTTTCTCAACATTACATACTTTTCTTTTTTTATTCCAACAAAAAACAAAACATCTTTCGGTATTACCTTAAGACCTTTTATTTCATCATGAAATTAATATACTTTTTCTATTTTGTTCGATCAATAATCAAACGAAATAGATTACTTTGATAATAACAAAATTATCTTAAAAAAATTTTCTAGAACATAATTTAGTTATGTCAATATGCCTAGAACATCTACATGAATATGAATTGACATGCTGTCCATCGAATCATAATATACCAGTCGAAGTAAGGTTTTAGATTAATTCTTAATCTATCATCACATTTACTTTGTCTAATTTAGATGAGGGCTGCATCAAGCTTAGCTTTATCTGATGCATCTTTACTTCTAATAAACAGTGGTACCGATCGACTTCTACTGTATGATCTTTCGGTATCTACATGCAAATTGCATGATATTAATTGGCCTAGCGATACCTATGGTGTCATCCGAGATATATGTTGGTCAAAATATATCAATTTATTTTTAATCTTAGGTGATGATGTCGTGTGCTCGTATTCTCCTATATCTAATCAATTAATAATTGTATTAAAGTCTTCATCTTTGAATGGTCGTTTCTGGTCATTAACTGTACTCGGCTGTGATGCGTATATTCTTTGTCGACACGATACTCTATATCGATACTGTTTACCATCATGGACATTATGTCATACATGGTCACGTACAGATTTAATTGATATATATACTACAGATAAATTCATCCAAATGATTCGAGCACACCCATCGATGGGTTCTATTGCATTGCTCATAAGATTAAAACGTCATCGTCAATGGCGTATTGATTTATTTGATCGACGCATGAAAAAACTCCATTCAGGAGAACCTATACGTATGGCATCTGCTTATCCAAATGTTAATATTCGACCCTATGCACATCATGGACAATGGATTTTAATGAATGAAGATTTTATTTGGAGAATAGATTTCAATGGTCAATTGATAGAACATCAATCGCGACAACAAAAAAAAGAAATAGATTAATAAATATTGATCTTGTCAGATTTGTAATTCTGTCGATATTTGAACATAGATGGTGATAATTAAATTTTACTTTTCTACATATATAATTCTGGACAAAAAAAAAAGAGAGTAATAATAAAACTAAGTGCACTTTCAAATAATATTATTTTATTTAAATATTCGTAATTGATTTTTTTTTCTATTTTCTTGAATAAAACATTATTGATACGAACACATATGTTTCATTCACTATTGTTGATAATGAAAGAAAGAAGAAAAAAATCATGTAGTCTTACATTGCTAACTCAGGGCTTTTTATTGACGTAAATCGAGGGTCATAAATCATGTGCTGACTTGATGAAAAACAGATTGTCCCTAAGTTGATTAGAATAGAGCATGAGGTGCAATATGTTGGATTTATCACGAACTCGATCAGATCTGGAAATTTTCTTTCGACCGACTTCATGATTAACCCAAGCCGTAATGCAAAACAATATATGATGACCTTAGCTACTAAACAATCAACGCCAAGGTTGTCTGAAATATGTATAAGATGTATGATGAATAATATACAAATAATCAATAGAAAGTGTGTTACATTTTTGGTGTCACTTGAAGATTCACAATTGAAAATTTTCATTCAGGCAGACTCAAACATAGACGGAAAGAGAAAGAGAATCGAGAAAATTTTCAAAGTATATAATGTAACTGTTTTATTATAAGTCTAGAGAATCTCACTTATGACATCCTTTTATTTAAGAGAATACTATTTTATTTTGCGTGTCACATGTAAAATCATTACTAGCCTAAATATTTATTCATATTGTTTTTGTATAAATATTTAAGCATACAACGATCAGTTAACATAAAACAGTAAAATCATATTTTAGTAAAGACATAAGAAGTCAAAGGTGCATGAAAATATATTAATTTATTAATACACAAGTAATATTTATATTTCTTCTTGTGTCAGTTTTGTTATTGTTATTATCAATGGAACATTCGACTTGATACGACTAGCAAGAAAATGTTAAGACGAGACTAAAAATCGTATTAAAATGTGAAATAAACGACTAGTTTGTTTTCTCCTATTTTATTCATTTAAACATTAAATGTCATGCCTCTTTCGTGAACTCCTTTTATATTGACACAATGAATAACTGTGTTTAGAAAGATAAAACAGCAACGGCAATATAAGTAGCAAACGGAAGAACAATAAGCGTGTCCTTCATTTAATGTAAAAATGTGACAAATTTCTAAAGAAATCTAAGGAAAAGAAGAAAAAATAAAAGCATCGTTTCGACGATAGTAGTCGGTTGACTGTTGAAGGTTTATATTGTTGTTAATGGTTAAAAACGAAAGTTAATTGCCGATCAATATTATGATTGTCTAGGAAAATATGGCATAAAATGGAGTTGGTTCTCACCCGTTAATTTAATTCACCAAAAAAGAAAAGAATAAAGAAACACATGCTAACAGTTTTTTTTCCTTTTGTATTTTATATTGCATATGTTTGTTGTTATTGTTCCCATTCACTCCCAATTTTTGTGTAATTCTTTGTATTCGCACACATACATACACACTTATATATACTGACACACACATAAAACATGCGTAATGTCTACTCGTTCTTTTCAATGTCTTAGAGTCGAATCGTAAAGAAGAAGAAGAAGAAAATAACTGGTGGAAACATTATACACGTGTAAGCATTTTCTTGAGTTGCATACACATTTATATTCACTTTTCTTTTCTTTCTTTCGTTACATCTTTCTTTTTTCTTTTTTCTTTTTGTTTGACATGCACACTGTTTCGTGGCTTTTGTGTGTCGTTGTATCGACGTCTTTTTTTTTCTCTTGATCCTCAAGCACACATACACATACGTAAATCATCTTTGTATTTTTATGCCCTCATTTCTCTCGCTCTCTCCTCATTGCTTGTTGGTGTCGTTCTCGCATTTTTCTTCTTCTTTTGCTTGTTCTCTTTCGCGTGTTTGCATGGCCTGTGCCCACGTTGTTCTTCTTTTTCTTCTCTTTTTTTCTTCTACAATGCCAACATCATGAGCGCCGCACGACCGATCGACAGTCGACAACTACATGCTTTACGCAGCTGAAAGAATCGAATGGCAGCAGTGGTAATAGCAGCAACAAAAGTAGAAATAACAACGACATCAACAAATTTTCATTGAATTTTCAATACAATATAGTTTGATTACTCTTTGTTTTCTACGTTTCTGTGTATTTCCTTTTCTTTTTTCTTCTTAACCAACTTCATTTGCTATCCGTTATTATTACTATTCTTACTATTATCATTTGATATCTTTGAAAAAACAGAAAAGATAATCGTTTGAAAATAATACTCCATATATAACAATGATGAATATTGAAACATTGCTACAAGCTGCACAAATTCTGGAAAGTCAACAATCAATACCACCCAAAAAACGGCTAGTCAGAGGTGAGTGTGACTCACTCAGTCTTTTTTCTCTCCCTCTCTCTTGTTAGTAGGATCATACCGTATGTAGCATAGCACGTGTATAATAAATGCATCATGCACATGGCTAATAATCAATTTTTTTTGTCAACATGTTGGTAGAAAAAAATCGTAGTTCGAATATATTTTCCTGAAGTTTTACAAAATAATTTTCGGTTGATTATTTTTTACGTGCGATGCGTATTGTCCTTGTTTTCCCGTGTCGTTAAGGTTGATCGAGTCAGGTAGCTCGTGCTTCCTTTGAGGGGCTAGTCATGCATCTATAAGTACGTTTTGTTTTCGTGATGACACATTCGATCAGTTATATGACTATAGTCGTCATCATCATCGAAGTAATGAAATAGTGGTAATAGTGGTAATAGTGAAAGCAGGAAAAATTCGCTCATGTGTGACATACATCGATACGAGCATTCAATCCAATTTTTTTCTTATCGTCGATTACTTTCTTTTACTATAAGAGGACTCCATTTTTTACTTTTCTTATTGGTTTCATATTATCAAGTCCTGAGCGATTTTCGATATGCAATCTGTATTGGTATCGTTCATAAGTGAGTGTTTAGTTTTATACTTACATTGTCTAGCTTGTAGTTTGCCATAAAGATAAATCTATAGGTAAGAAGATAAGCATAGATTTTTTTTTCTCGCAACATATTCCAAAATAATAATACAAAACAGATATCTTTGTGTATATATACACACATAAATCTTCCATCGAGAAGAAGAAGAAGATACGTTGATGCATGTGCGTGTCATATTCAGTTCCTTTTTCTTCTTTCTTGTTCTTCTCTTTCGTCATCGTCAGCCTGACGACTCGCTTGTTGAGACGGACAGACGGCCGGCCATACATAGTGAGTGATTTGAAAGAAGAGACTAATTCGTCATAGTAGTCATAATATACATCCTCTTATCTAAATATATTAGCGAGTGCATGTGTGTTACAATAATGTGGTGGAGTATGTCATCTATATTCTCTATAATCTAATTTTCATTTTTTTAAATAAAATTTTAGGCGGTCGGCAAACTCCCAATAATAATAATAATAATAATAATACGAACAATCATATACCAGCAAGTGTCCTTTCATCAACAACACTGAATACGAATTCAACCATAATCCCACCAACATTATCCATAATTAAAAATGAAAATCTTATAGAATGTTCTCAACTTGATTTTAATCGTAATTTACATAATGTTAATCATTCAATTCATCAACAACAATCCTATTCATCTCAGCAACAGTTTACATTGGATCAAAATGATGATGATGATGACGACGATGACGATGATATTGATCAAAACAATCAAAATTCAGCGCAAAACAGTGACATTTCTAATCGGTAATATTTCAATTTTGCATTTAAGTTTTGAAGAGAAAAAAAAATTAATTTCCTTTAGTGGTCAGACATGTTTCCGTGATCGTGAAATTCACAATAAACTAGAAAAACATCGGTAAGTAACGACATCTATTATTATCGCTAATAACATAAAATCACCTTCGATTTAAAAAATCTTTCTAAAGTTTCAAAATAAATAAAAAACATGAAAATAAAACACTTCATAAAAATTCTTATTGGATAAGCATAATCAGGTGTATTAAATAGCGAAATAAAAATTCCACTATCGCTATCTTATTTCCTATTTTTTTCCTTGATGGTATCTCCAAAAGAAGCTCAAAGGTATTTTTCTATGTGATACAATAGGAAAACAAAAATGATCATTTTGTATTGTAGACGAGCTCATTTAAAAGATTGCTTTGATACACTCAAAGCCGAAGTACCATGCCAGCGCGATCGAAAAATAACAAATCTTCAAGTACTGAATATGGCTATAAAATATATTCAAGTAAAATTTGTTATGAATTGGTGTGAAAATAAAAGAAAGAGTCTCTTTTCTATTTCTAATAGGCATTAACACGAAAAGAACGTGAATATGAACAAGAAATAGCTATGTTAACATCGAATAACATAGAATTACAACGACGTCTTGGTGCAGTTAAAACCGAATTAAATTCCGAAGGACATAATGTTGATACATGGCTTGAATCATATTCTGATATTGACCATTCAATATCGACTTGTACAGCTTCTGAAGCTGAAATGTATCGAACATTCGATGATGACGATGATGATAAAAATGAGGATGATCAACAGTTAAAAAAAACGAAACTGCTTAATGAAAACAGTCATCTAGATACGAACAACAATCATAGTGGTATTAAAACGAATATGAACAATTCATGTGAGTGTTTTACTGTTTGCTAAAATTGTGCTGTGCTGTGCTTTGCTTTGTTTTGTTTGCAAATAAATAGCGACAAAAACAAATTAATGCTTTGCTGCTTATTTTAATTGAACAGAAGAAAAAACGATGAATTTGTTTTTCATAACTTTTGATTTCTTTCTTCAGATACAGTCGATTCCAAAACATTAATAAATAATCGTAGAAATACAACGCGTCAAAGGTCACGACCATCAAAACGAAAAATATCATCAATACCAACTACGAATTTACTACAAACATTACCAGTATCAATACCAACACGTTCCGAAAATTTACTTGATTATAATACAGCAAGATATCTTCAGTTGGATCAACCATGTAATTTATTAACATCACTTAAAGATAATTTATCAACACCTACCACAACATTCACACCAATAACTGATATCCGATATGATATTGTAGATATGTTTACTAAAGGTACAACTTCACATTTGCATCCACAACAACAGCAACACCAACAAGTTTCCCCATTACCGTCCATAGCTAGTCTGATGAATAGACATTCATCACCGGTGGTTTCACCAACAAAACAAACTATTGGTATTAATACAGATCCATTAACAACATCGACAACGAACATTTTACATCAACCTGTTGCTACATCGTGATGTGATTATATTTTTGCTTCCTTCTTTCTTTTTGTTTTTTCTCTTCTTTGGCTTGTCTTCTAATGTTTTAATTCCTTTTTCTTTCTTTCTTTCGCAGTATACATATTCACTTATATATATATATATATATACATATATCAGTGCCATCAGAAAAATAAAATGAACTGTAATTATATAAAACACAAAACTGATATGATATTATTTTACTATTGCAAAGAAAAAAGAGGAAAACCTTTTGAATTTATCAATTAGTAAATATTTATCTTACTTTATCTCTAGTGTATTTAGAAAGAAGAAAAAAAAAGTGCACTAGCCGGGAATCGGACCCGGGTCGCCCGCGTGGCAGGCGAGCATTCTACCACTGAACCACCAGTGCATGTCTTTCAGCTGACATTTTTTTCGCTTTTATCTTTAAAAAAACGACAAATTTCGGCAAAGAATTTTTGCTTATGAAGATTTTTATTTATAGTAGGCAGGTTTATCTAATAATGATTTATTAGGTGGATAAAAAATGGCCTTGATAAAGATGCACATAATATTATTATCATTGTAGAGGAATTTTTCTAGTAACAATAATTGAAAATAAATTTATCATTTCTATAAATAGTTCTTGATATAAGGAAAGAAATAAACGAAAAAGGTTATTCGAAAACATGAAACTTTGAAATGAATGAAAGAAATTTTGATCGTTAGATACTATTAGATTTTTTTTTCTATGGAAAACATCGACGACAAAAGTGGAATTTCATTGATTACATTATTTGTATCTGGTGGAATAAGAAATATTTGTTATAAAAGTAGTTTTCTATGTACGATTGCTATATCTAGGTGATAGTTCTATGCCCAGTGTTAACAATTATGGATCATTAATTGAATCACGTGGCTTTTTCGTTTACTCTTCTTTACTTGCGATAAGAATAAATGCTAGTTATCTGATCCTACTATATACTTTTAAAGGTAGAAACGAGTCGACATATCTCTTGTTCTTGTCTGAGCCGAACATGCCTTCAAATAAATATTCTTCACAGTTAACGCAAAATAAAGCATATGGAACTGCTCAAGCTATGCTCTATGCTACAGGTCTCACTGAACCCGATATGGCTCGAGCTCAAGTGGGTATTGTTTCAATGTGGTATGATGGCAATCCATGCAACATGCATTTAGGTCGTTTAGCTGATTATGTACAAGCATCGATGCGTGAATCAATCGATCGTAATAATTTAGTCGGTATGCGTTTTAATACAATAGGTGTTAGTGATGCTATATCTATGGGTACAGATGGTATGTCTTATTCTTTACCATCACGCGATCTAATTGCTGATTCCATTGAAAGTGTGATGAGTGCACATTGGTATGACAGTCTTATAACTATACCTGGATGTGACAAGAATATGCCCGGATGTATTATTGCAATGGCTCGACTTAATCGTCCTGCAATAATGATTTATGGTGGAACAATTGGAGCTGGTCGTACAACATTAGGTCCATGTACGCGAACTATTGATATTGAATGTACATTTGAAGCTTATGCACAATATGTTAAAGGAGAAATAAGCGATGAAGAACGACAAGATGTCGTTCGACATGCTTGTCCAGGCGAAGTTTGTTTTATTACTTTTGTCTTTAATTTTTCTCTTCCTCGTCTTTTATTCTACAGGGAGCTTGTGGTGGTTTATATACTGCTAATACAATGGCTGTAGCTATTGAAGCTATGGGTCTTTCATTACCCTATAGTTCATCAACACCTGCTGCTGATCCACTTAAATTAGCTGAATGTAAACAAGCTGTCGAAGCAATACGTGTATTACTTGAAAAAGATATTAAACCAAAAGATATTATGACACGAAAAGCATTTGAAAATGCAATTACTGTCGTAAGTCATCGGCTTGTTTTTGAATTGTTACTCTATATATTAAATAAATTAACTAGACTAATGCTCTTGGTGGTTCAACAAATTCCGTACTTCATTTAATTGCTATGGGTCATGCAGCTGATGTTCCAATTAAGTTAGAAGATTTTCAAGAAATTTCACGTCGTACTCCATACATTGCTGATCTTCGACCTTCTGGTAAATATCTTATGGCTGATTTACATTCAATTGGAGGAACACCTGCTGTTCTGAAATATTTACTTGCACACGGTAAGATTTAATTTGTACAATAATAGTTGATTGATTTGCTTTTCTGTGTATATTCTATAGGTTTAATTCATGGTGATATCATGACAGTTACTGGAAAAACACTTGCTGAAAATTTGGCTGAATGTCGTGATTTAGGTTTTACTGAAGGCATGCCATCGAATGTACGTAAAGGTCCTGGTCCAGGTGATCAAGGTCTTATTCATTCAATTGAACATCCACTAAAAGCAAGTGGTCATCTTCAAATTCTTCATGGCAATTTAGCTCCCGATGGAGCTGTTGCAAAGATAACAGGCAAAGAAGGACTTTGGTTTGAAGGACAAGCACTTGTCTATGATAGTGAAGAATTAATGATGGAAGGTTTTATTCGTGGTGATATTCGTAAAGGTACAGGTACGAAATATGTTATTGTCGTTCGATACGAAGGTCCTCGTGGTGGTCCTGGTATGCCTGAAATGTTAAAGCCAACAGGAACCATAGTTGGTGCGGGTCTTAGTCAAGATTGTGCCTTGATAACTGATGGACGATTTAGTGGTGCATCACATGGATTTATTGTCGGTCATGTTTGTCCAGAAGCAGCAGTTGGTGGGCCTATTGCTTTAGTAGAAAATGGTGATATTATTTCAGTAAAATTAACAACAAATGGTGGCTCGGGTACACTTACATTGCATGTCACTGACGATGAATTAAATGAACGACGTACAAAATGGCAATTACCTGCTAAAGCCAGTCTACCTAAGAAAGGATATTTAAGAAAATATGTACAATGTGTACAATCAGCATCAAATGGATGTATTACAGATGGATAAAAAAAGGGAATTCTACAATAAGAAAACTAATTTAAAATTGGCCTGTAGCGTATAGTTTCTTTTTTCTTATTGAAAAAAAAATGATTCAATAAAATAGAAAATATTCTATCATCAGCATGTATTTGGTAGAACATGATCATCACAATTAAAACTATTTTAATGAATAACAACAGATTCTGATATATATATATATATTATGCACTATCTTCAGTATTGAATGTTGAATCATTATCTGGTGATGCATCATTAATATTTTAACCAAATAATGAATAATGCCATTCCATAGGCGGCGAAGCCCTTAGGCTAGCAGGAGCTTGAGCCCCTCCTAAAAAGCAACTAGAGGGGCTTGAAGGGGCTCAGACTTTTGAAAAAGAAATACAACTTTCATCGTGATTATATGTTTAGTAAGTACATTTTTGTATGCTATTGAAACATCTTCACTTATTAACACCAGCAATTCATTTATGGAGATAAAGGGAAATAATCAATGCATAGAATACATTCATGGTGTCGACTTGTTTTTATTGGTCATTAGAATTTGTAGCATGTTCAGCATTTTACTTTCGAAAGATTTTGAAATGATAAAAAACAGTCAGTTTCGTAAAAAAATAAATGCCGATACCGATATCAAGAAGATAGCGTCAAATGATATCTTTTTTTTTCGAAGCAAAAACAGATAATGTGTGAAGCTGCTGATGAAGAAAAGGTGAATCTAGTTCAAGAATTGATGCCACTAGAGCTGGCAGAAGTTTCTACATTCACCAGAGGTGCAGAATCTACCCGTGTGCGCGTACGGCCGTGTGAGGAAAATTTTGCAAACCTAAGCATCAGGGGAAATTCTTGGAAAAATATTTTCTCTTCTAAGCGTGCAGGAGCAAGTATTTTTCCAAACGAATCTTGTTTTATTTATACGTGCATCGATCATATCATGCATCTTTCTTCTTTTATTTTATGTAAATTTTGAAAGGATCATCCATTTCTTACTCACGGTTTCAGTATATTCTTCTTTGTTTGACGCTGATGATGCGTTGCACTACTGTTTATCTTTCGCTCTTTCTTGGGCGTAACTATGATGCAAAAACGGCTATTTGTTTTCTCCTCTTTTCGTTTTGTTTTTCCCTAACCGAATGCCACTAGTTGTTGTCTTTTCTCTATAGCTACATATCGTTGTAATTGTGTACTCCTATACATATACAAGCGCTATGATGACTAATCTACAATCATAGAACAGATGACGCATAATATGATCCTTGTCACTCGCAAATCTTTTCTTTTCACTCATTTTTGTTTCGCTTCCTCTTAGTTTTTAGAATATTTAGCATGTCTGAATAATAGAAATGTATTCTAGTAAATAGCAGGTATCATGTTTTTATTGTGGATGAGTGGGACGAAAAGATAACGTAAACGTACATTAGAAAAAAAACACCATAAGGAAATATTTAAATTAACGATTCCTAAAAATAACTTAACCAGATATCATTGTGATAAAGAAACAACTGAAAGTAGCAGAACAATTACCAGTGGTGATTATGAGGATGCTAATAAATTTGAAAAATAACAGCAAGAAAATGTCATTCTATAATCTCCTGGCTTAGCAAAACCCATAAATCAGCACTGCCACTTCACCTTCAATATTAACGTAGAAAAAAACAACAGAGAATCATCATCATCATCATATGCACAAGTGGGTGATGTGATAATGACTGGATTCTATCAAATACTGAGATGATTTCTTGATACTGAGAGGTTTAAAAATCTGTAATAATTTAGAGCCAATCACGATTATGCCTTGTTCTATCTGGAAAAGACAACCACCAAAACATTTATTAGGTGTCATAAAATTTCATGTGAGATTTTTCAACATATTAAACAGAAACTAAATGAACTTCTATCACCCCGATTTCAAAGTTTAAAAGCTAATGTGGAATTACACTTTTCAAACAAATCACATACTGTATACATGATGTGCACAAGAACAAAATGAAAGACAACAAACATTGAAGATTTTCTTAAAAAGAATGAAAAAGCTAGATTGACTGTTTATAGAGTTGCTTTGTTTTTTATTCGAAGCAGCTTAGGTGGTGTTAGATTTGTTGATATGCTAAATCTACAAGAGTTATATGAAGCACCTGTTGGTACATATAGATAAATTCAATTTTTTTCTGTAATCTTTACATGAAGTATATAAGCTGCTTCTGTTATATTTAGACAGTCGGTAGGTTTTTGAGAAACTTAGAACATCAATGGCAAGAATTATGAAAGAACAAGTCATAGACTATTGACAATTTTTTTAAGGATATACCTACATCTTAAACGAGAATTCCTTGCTTTATTATTCAATTTTATAGTGGGGGAAATTTCCCAAAAAGAAAAGTTCCGTGTGGGGAAATTTTGTATTTTTTCGGCAGATTCTGCACCCTTGCACTTGTGATATCTATGCAAGTATAAACGTCAGAAGATACATTCATGACATAAATGACTTATAATTATAATAGGTAGTTTTTTTAAACTGAATTTACTTCTTCTATGAAAAATGAGCTTTACACAAAGTTGTCACTAAATAACGATAGCTCGTTGGAAATAGTTACTCATGTGGATAACATGGGTAACCAGAATTACATTTTACTAAAAAATGTAGTGATTTTTCCCGAAAATATCTCGCGCTTAGCACATTTAAAAGTAGTTCTTAGAATTCAACAAGCAAGTCTGACTGCGTTCTGTATTATTTGAACATTTATTATCGACTCAAAGCTAAAAATGATATGGATATTTTAACGAGTAATCCCATTTTTACAATTGAATTAGGTACACATTAAACTCTACTTTGTGTAATTCCTTTGATATCTGGTAAGGCGTTCTAAAACTTTCGTCATACAATACAATGCAGTTATACAGAGTAATAAAATACAGTTACTATCTACTTCAATAATAAATACGCAGTTCTGAAAAGTAAAACTTCAATGGGCAAGTCTTCAATTGAAATGGACAATTGCCCATTTCCCCCTCCTTTGGTTACGCCGCTGCATGTTGTGAATACCGAAGCAGTTGTTGCGGTAAATCGTGATATTTATCCTTCATGTGGTGAATTACACTGATATACGGATATGAAGATAGATATTTACTGCCTGTTGGCTAACACCATCTATCATTGTTTTGATTGGCTTGCTACAAAACTAGATTTGTCCATCATATAATCAGTAGTTTTTATTTCATTTTGTTCTATTTTTTTTTGTTTACTAGTGCTAGTTATCAAAGATTATACATATTTTAGATGCTGGTTCGAAAGTTATTTAATCGGCAATCATTTGCCATCTCATCTGCTACACTTGGCCGTTGTATTTCGACAAGTTCATATCGTTTAGCATCGGATAAAGAGTTTGTTCATCGTGACACGCCACAAAACAATCTCGATGTGAAATTTGACTTTACACCTGACAATTATAAACGAGTCAATGCTATTACTGCTATGTACCCTGAAGGACATAAAACAGCAGCTGTTATACCTTTACTTGATCTAGCTCAACGTCAACATCAAGGTTGGTTACCACTGTCAGCAATGAATAAAGTAGCTGAAGTTCTTAAAATGCCTCGAATGCGTGTATATGAAGTATGCTGATTTGAAAAGAAAGACATTTGATTTGATTTCCTTTCAATTAACAATTTAGGTTGCTACTTTCTATACAATGTTTAATCGCAATCCAATTGGAAAATATCACATTCAAGTATGTACAACAACTCCATGTTGGCTATGCAATTCGGATGGCATTTTAAAAACAATTGAAAAAAAATTAGGTATTCACGTTGGTCAAACAACACCGGACGGTCTATTTACTTTAGTCGAAGCTGAATGTCTTGGCGCTTGTGTTAATGCACCGATGTTATCGATCAATGATGATTATTTTGAAGATTTAACAGAAAAGGAAATTAGCGATATTTTAGATGAAATTAAAAAAGGTGGAAAACCAAAAGCTGGCCCAAGATCAACCCGTTTTGCAGCTGAACCGACAGGTGGACTCACTTCATTAACTGAACCTCCCAAAGGACCTGGATTTAGATTGCGTAAAGAACTTCAATAAACTTCTATCCTTTTTCTTTAAAAAAAAGTGTGTGTGTATAAATACAGCGGATTAGAGTATAAAAGAGTTCCTATTATAAAACGATTATTTGTCTTCATTTTCAAAAAACAATGTAAAGTCGTATTTTTATCGTTTGAACGATCGTGGAGGATAAAAAGAAAAAGAAAATACGATGTTTTTGCAGTAGAATAATTGAATTCAAATTTGAAAGACTGATTTCACTGCATCTCTGTGATTAAAGAACAGTAGAGTACTTGAAGAACGTTTATTAGCAATGTGTTTTTTGGATTTATTTTCTATGACAATTATCATCTAGATCAGCCTAAGATAGTGATCTTAATAAACGATGACATTTTATATTTTCCTCGTATTCTATATCAAGAATATTTTTTAGCGTCATTTAGATAGAAAATTTCTTTTGCTATCGAAATCACTTTTTTAAATTCAAGCTCGGTACTAAACATTATGGTAGCTATTCTGAAATATTCATACTATTGATTTTTTTTCCATCGTCTTACATATTTCTTGAAACATAATTATTAAAATTTGATTACTTTCATGTAAAATTACAATTGCCAATGGAACTAACATGTATATCCGAAGCAGTGGCGTAGCCAGGATGTTTTAAGTAGATGGCAATAGTGGGCAATTAAAAACTCTAGTTAGCAATAACTTTTGTTTTAAATATCTGCATTATGGAAGCCGTTATTTACTGGAAGAGATTGAAAATTGATTTTTGTAAATCACTTGATTAAATTTCATCAAGAGAAAATGTGTTGAAATAAAACATTCCTTAAATCTTTAAATGTACACAGGTTTTAATATTTTTTAACAATGGGCAATTGCGAAGCTGCTGTCTACGCCACTGACCCGAAAGAAGATTTCAGGAGTTGTCTCACACTTTCAAATAATTTTTGCAAGGAGAATATATGTAACAGAATAATATCTTAATCAATTTTTACATATTTAGACTTGCCAGAACATATGATAATTTTCATCTTTGCATTCGCTCCCTTTCATAAGTTAATATCATGTGAAAATAGTAAATTGCAAATGCTATCATGAACAACAGGTACTAAGTCATTTAGGCCGAATGAAAAATCTTTTTTGTGAGTCTCTTGGTTGGCACAGCTAGTGCTAAAAGTTTTCTTGTCAATCGCTTAGCAACTATTCAATGGTATATCTTTGATTGGTGTCAACAGGAAGGCTCTTCGACAGCTAATGTCTGACTCTTGTGAATCATCGATATAGTTTATTTTATTTTGAATAGTATCGTCCTCCTTATTAGTCAAGATAGTTTATTTGCTATCAGATTATAGATGAAACTTGGTAAAAGCTATAGAAAATTGTTTCAAATCCGCTCTCCTTTTGTTTCTGAATCAGTTTTTTAAGTCGAAATTATGAGCAAGAGAACGTCAACCATAAAGTTTCATGTAGTGCATATCAAAACCGACAACTTCTCACTATCATAAAAGAAAAAGAGATGACTATCATGCACTTGTGTCGCTAATTTACCATTTCTATCATTCATCGATTCTTTCACAATAATTTTAGTGTTTCAGATGGTATTATTAAGGGAATGCTTGAAAGAACTGACTGGTGATTATCGATCTTGCGAGTCATTTTGTACGGATAGAGGATGCGTGAAAGAAAAAAAAGGACGAGCATCAGAAGAGGTTTTTGAAGTAACCTGATAGGAGACACGGTTCATTCATAAAAAGTGATAATTCATCCATCTAAAATGCATGACTCGTTTTTATGAAACTATTAATTTACAATTTAAGAGAATCTACTGCAAATCATGATGTTAAATACGAGACATCGATGTAGGATTTGATCTATTCATCTACTATGATTTATGTTGCTGTTGTTTGAGAAAAGTACGGATCTGAAATCACCTAAACTCATAAGAACCTTCCTTTCTAAAAAAAAAAAGAAACGAAAACATTCTATTAAGTGTCTCAAATGTACAGTTAATGGTGATAATGTATTTTTTATTATCTTAATTTATACAGGTATTATAGTTTTTATAGGTAAGATGAAAACATTTGACATAAAAAGAATCTTTTAAAACGATCACAGTGAAATCTATTGGACAGCATGGTTTATTATCAAAAACAATTACAAGCTTAAATGAACTACATATGAAAAATCTATGACGAATCAAATTAACGAGTAAAATATCTTCAGGAGCAACAGTTACCACGAGAGTATATACAACTGCTTGATATTTATTCTAGCTAATCACACAGGTATATAGAAAATACAGACATTATAGTGAAACATTTTTTGTTCTATACTTGGCATTCATTCTTTATAATTTTATTCCATAGTGATTATAGAGTTAATAAATATGATTTTCATAGTATTTGCATCATGATAAATGGCGTTGATTGCAATCCAGGAATTTGTTTCTTTATTGATCCTTGATATAATCTGTATACACCATCTAAACAATTGATATTTTCATTCTGAAAAGTAACTTTACGACTTCAATATTTTTGTATTATTTCCCATTGGTTCGATGAACATATTTGAAAGACTATTGTATTATTTATACTTGAAAAACAACCAAATATAATCAATCCTATACAAAGAATACCGGCATTCTAACTTATAAAACAGTAGCACTAACAGAGGCAATTTCGTATCCAATTATAACAATAACAATAACATTTTCAGCTGTAAATTGATATGGCTAAATCTCGGTAGCTTTGCGTCAATCAGAAAAATAATGTCTGTTTATCTCTAGGCTTTATTTAGACTGCATTCGTTTCATAGTTAAGTATTGTACCAGTATTGACTCTAACTGGGATATTTTTTGGATCAGAGTCCATGTGTTTCTCTAAGTAAGCTTCAGCAAATGGCCTTGTGCTCTGACTTGATCTTCCCAAAACATCTATTCTAGATCAATACAATATTCTATTGGACCTCGCAGAACACATATCAAAGCTGAAGAAAATAGAACACGTCAACACTTGAAGCGCCCACTTTTTTAGGTTGAACTATAGAAAGAGACTAATTAGTGACGTGTTTTCTTTTACCAAGTATCTTAATTTATTTGTTTTCTTTTGCTTAGCATCATTGTCAAAAAGGGTGCCATAATCTTGAAAGGTTACAATGTGCCCGAAATTATTGCATATGGAACCGCCTTCGTAGTTATATGCGTATCTATCCGATCAAGAGAGTTTTCTTAATGAAAAACTGACAGATGGTAAAAGAAAAGAAGAAAAAAAATATATATTCAAAAATTTCAATATTTATTACGATGACTAGATGATAAATTCTTTACATTATCCTATTATTTAACCGAAAGTTAATATATATATATATATATACAACTGATTAAAGTTGCAACATACTTGATTTAATATAACGGTTCATCTTTATGGGACGATTAATCTATTTGTTAAAAAATAAACTCACATGTACAAAAACGAACTATTAATAAAATCCCAAATACACGCCGCGTTTGTTTTTCAAATCTATCAATTGACAATAAATATAGTGACGAGTTTGTTTAAAACATATTGTATTGTGCGTAAGTGCATGAGTGTATGTGTGTGTGTGTGTGAGTGAGTGTGTGAGCAAAAGTGTGTTTCTTTGACAGAATTTTCGAGAAAAAAAAATGCTAAAAGTCAAAAGAAGAAAACTGACTATATAATCAATATTTTTTATTCAGTAGACCAAGTTTTTTAATTTGAGCGTATTGTGAAGGTATTTCCATTAGAGCACGGAGAGCAAATGCCGAATCCGTATTTGTTGATGCTTCAAAAACACTGTGATAATCAACAAATTGAAAATTATCAAATTGTCGTGTTGGTAATGAATCATCAAATTCTTCCATCATATCCCAAGGCCCATCACCAACACCGATCATAACAATTGATAATGGATAATTACTTGCTTCAACAATAGCATCTTTTGTTTGTCTTTCATTAGTGACTTGGCCATCAGCAACAATGACAAGAATGTGATACTAGAATGATAAGTGTTTAACATGCAGCAGGAGAAAATTTCAAGGTGGTAAAATAGTTCAAAGCATTAAAAAAGAAAAGCTGAGTTCATTTCGTTTAGAATAACTCTAGTTGAACTTTCTTAAACAGATGACCTCATTTGTGCTTGGCTTAGTGGAATGACTCATTAGCAATTTTCGACCTTGCTTATCGTTTGCATCGACTATCAACTATCGTCATTAATTTTGATTAGAAAAATATGGTAAAAATGAAATAGTATCTTGTAGAAAAAAACGGTAACATACTTCTCCAGTTTTCTTCACAATTCGAACAGCTTCTCTGATTAGTGGTGCAAAATTTGTCGGTCCAGACATGCGCACTTTCGGTGTGATCTCATTATAAGCTTCGAGAACGCCACGAAAACCTTTACAATATGAGCCATCTGGCTGTAAAGAGCAAAATAAAAACATGTGACTAATATGTTTTTAGATTAGCAGAATAAACATACACGTAATGGAAAAATTTTTCGATCAAGTGTTGACCGATCACCAAAACCAAAGACCGGTATTAATTTGTCTGAATCATATTTTTCTAATGTTCTGCCAACAATAGTTATAACCTAAATTGAAAATGTCGTCAAGATAAATTTTTTCTTCCTCTTTCGAAATTCAACTGAAATCTTCTTACACTTTGATATGGATTGACTAAGTCATCTTGTATATGATGCAAAGATAAACCATTAAATGAATTTTTTCCCGTTTCTAAATTACTTATGGTATAATCGATACCAAATATAAGTTGTGAATGAGTGAGACCAACTTCTTCAACAGCTTTATTAATTTCATCTAGTGATGTAAACTCATCTTTAATAACATGATCATGCGTTGTAGAAACTTTTCCTAAAAGCGTTATTTTTACATATATATTTCTATAGTTTAATTATTAAAAGTAGAACTTACGAACAATCACCGGTGGACATGGTATATTTTCTATTAGTGAACTTTCAGCAGTTGAAGTTTTTGGATCTATCTCAAATCGTGAACGACGACGTGAACTTGATGTTACGGGCTGTTCTGCGCTGGGCGGAAGGTTTAGTGCTTTGGATTGCTCTAGCTTAGATGGTGGATTTGGTGTTATAGACTGTTCTTTAGATGTCGATTTTGGCGCTGCAGCTTGTTCTACTTTAGATGGAATACTGGGTGTTATCGGCTGTTCTTTCGAAGGTGGTTTCGGCGTTGCAAATTGCTCTACTTTAGGTGAGACAGTTGATGCTGTGGATTGTTTTTCTTTAGGGGTTGGATTTGATGCTGTGGGTTGTTCTACCTTAAACGGTGGTTTCGGCGTTGTAGGTTGTTCTACTTTAGATGGGACAATTGGTGTTGTAGGCTGCTCTACTTTAGAAGGTAGATTTGACGTTGCAGATTGTTCCTTCGAAGGTGGTTTCGATGTTGTAGGTTTTTCTACCTTAGGAGGTAGATTTGACGTTGCAGATTGTTCCTTCGAGGGCGATTTCGATTTTGTAGGTTGTTCATTTGGCGTTGCAGATTGTTCCTTTGAAGGCGATTTCGATGCTGTAGTCTGTTCTACCTTAGGTGGTAGATTTGACGTTGCAGATTGTTCCTTCGGAGGTGGTTTCGATGTTGTAGGTTGTTCTACCTTAGGTGGTAGATTTGACGTTACAGATTGTTCCTTCGAAGGTGGTTTCGATGTTGTAGGTTGTTCTACCTTAGGAGGTAGATTTGACGTTATAGACTGTTTTTCGTTAGATGTTTGATTTGATGTTGTAGACTGTTCCTTAGATGGTGTGGATTGTTCTTTCAACGTTGTTTTCGATGGTGTAGATTGCTCTTCTGTAGATACCTTTTGAAGCGATTTCTCTATCGTATCGATATGATTTGTTGATAATTTTGGTTGATGTAACGATGATGATGATGAATTCCGACTCTCAATGTCGTCTATAATAGAAAATGATCGATATACTCTAAGATCTGTCATATATTGACAAAGTATAAACAAAAAAGAAAAGTAGAAAGTAGCATTCTTTTCTCCTTTTAACCTGTGACAGTTGGCAATGATGTGACATTTATTGAATTTGATATCGAAGTAGTTTTACTAGAAAAGTCGGATGAATGTAACGTTGAAGAACTTTCTTCAGTAATATTTGGTAATTTTCGAACACTTGGTAAACAATGTTCCAATGATTCTTGATTAAGAAGATTATTTTCAAGACTTTGTCGGCGTCGTTGTTCATTAAGCTTATTTTCATTGATTTTAGTACATCGGCGTCGATAGAAAATATATATGATGATGAGAATAAGAAGAAGGAGCAAAGAAACAGATGCTAAAACTAATTTTGATCCATCTTCTTGAGTGAAATATGACAAAGTTGATGTTGATGGAAGAATAAATTTCTTCTATTATTAGATAGTGCATAATTAATTATTCGATGCTTTTTTTTTATAGAAACCAAACAAACCTGTAAATCTGACTTTGAGCGTACACATTGATTTCGGTCGCTTCTCGATGATATTGATGCAAAAGAAGACCAACGATTCTATAAAAACAGTTTTTACAGATCATTGATATCGATATTTAGATAAGCAATGTTATTTGAGATATCTATAGATTTATGGCTTGTTAGTTTCTTTCATTCAGTTCGCATTTCTTAACAATAAATATTTAAGATCTTCTTTTACACGACTCCCGAACTTTTCATTAAACAATCCTTCTTAAAAAACTCTTCCGCCTATAAAATCACAGAAAACTGCTAATAGATTTTATGTCACTCGATGCTGAGTGTATCTAATAATGTGCTCTATTAATTTTGTTTGGCTTGCTTATTTGTTAAGGTAGCATTCGTCTTATCTAGTCATAGTGCTCTATAATGATAAGTTAATGATAGTTTCTATAGGCATGCCACCCCCTCTTAATGATGTTGAGTCAGACAGCATGTTTTCTTTATTTTGCTGTATTTCGTTCTCCAATATCTCACTAAATGTGGCTCGTTTTTCTCCTATGTACGGTAGTATTTTTCAGATGCCACAATGACAACGATTACAGTTTTGGTCTTTTCTTTCTCATCAACATATATATGCATACATACATACATACATAACAAAGTGTTTGTTTTGTTAGGATAAAATCTGATTTCAGCAGAAACACAAAACAGATAAGAGGTTCATATCTTCTAGTTATCGATCAAAAGGAACAGATGAATATGTCACTGTAAACGCTTTTTTGTTATTCTCATTAATTGTTTTTCTGCTGCTGCTTTTTCTTCATCTATTTATATATACTTAAATCAGAATGTCTGTTCGACTCACTAGTTGACCAAATAATCATCAAATCAGCATGTTGCTTATAGGATGAAGATAGATTGACTCTTCGCAATTTGCCAACGACAGAACAGTCTATGCTGATAGTTTACATTGTGTATAACTGTAGAGAAATCGCCGTTGAAAAGTAGTGACGAAAATAATATATTCGAAAACAATTGCTACATATTCTCATGAGAATAGTACAAACAAATGAATTGCAAATTAGTATCATCTCAATAAGTATTTAATAATCAATAAAGATGTTCACATATTTATAGTTTCATAATCTATCTTCTAAATCTCAAAGAACGAGTAGAAGAAAAATATTATCTAAATCTATGCCATGAGATCAGTATGGTTTTTTTTTACTTTTTACTATAAACAATTTTTATATAATGTATTGAATTTTGAAATACCATAATAATGTTAAGTAGTTTTATTACCTTACTCGACTTTTTAGTTTGTTGCTCTTGTTCGCATACTGATTGATCAGAAGGCCATATTGGCCTTATACCATATTTACCAGAGTGCACATGCTGCAGTCGAGATAAACTGGACGATGACAACAAGCGTTGCTGCTCTTTGATCGACGGCTGTACAATGCGCTGACGAAAATCAATACGTGATGGAAAGTTATTGGGTACATCCGAAGTAGAATAAAATACCTTCGCCAACGATTTTTCGGACGAATGTTTCAAATATGTTTTCATTGATTGATTTGAAATCGACAGTAAACAAAACACAGCGACAAATATGTGTTGATTGCTTTTTTCCTTGTCGCCTATTCCATATCATCTGGTGTCACTTCTCTTTAATTTGTACCTTGGCTTTATGTATCTTTGTCTATCTCTCTCTCCCTATAATGGTTCTTGTTTGTTAAAGATAGTGATATGATGATAAATCAATTAACAATGGAAATATTGAGAATAGCCAGTCGCCCGTTAGCACAACCGATTTCAGTCGTCGCCAGCCTTCTTCGCCTTCTTCTTTTCTTGTTGTGTTGTCAGCAAGACATACACTCTCACATTTATCATACTATGTATCCTACCCCCAGTGATGTAATTCAAGACGAGGAGGAGAAAAACTGGCAGAGACAAAGAACTAGATAAATTCGCGCATCGTTGCTAAGTTCTTGCTCTGGTAAATAGTTCGGAGTAAATAGAAGAAGAAAAAAAGGCAAAAAAATACGAAGAAAGCAAGACACATACAAACATAAAATATATTGAGAAACACAACAAACAATCTATACCGCACGCTAATTCTATTAAGCTATGGATCAGTTCACATAAGCCATCTTCTTCGACATTCTTTTCATTGTCAATGTATATGTATTCATTTTATTCAATTGTTAGAAAAGGATAGTAAAAATAACGTCGATATGCTTGAGAACGGCAGACATTGCATCAGGGCATTGATTATCGACCAGCTGTCTAACATTTTGACTCTATTGTGTGAAAAACGACCTTGGAATAATCATATTTATGTATTTTTCTATATGCAGAGTTTTTACTATTAGTTTGATGGTCAGGAGTCTTCAAACATTGACATGAGTTGTTAGAAAAAGAAAACAGTTTAAGATTGATCGATTATTTTCTATTTGTTAGTTAACGAGTGGACTGATGTATAACAGATAATCGAAAAAAAAATAGTGAAACTTTTCTTGATGTCACCCGTTTGGTTTCTTGTTGTGATAAATAATTAGACCATATCATTGACTGTAAATAGAATGAATAAATTACTCAGAATTGACATATGTAAAGACAAAATTGAGTCGCATTTAAAGCTTGATAAAACTTTTTCGACAGATTATTTCAGTCTATAATTGTGAATGTATATCATATTAATCAATTTAACTGGTTATACATGAGAAGTCATAGATGATTTTTCGATGAAAACAAAAAAAAATTCATTGGTCAATAAGATCATCTCGCAAAAGTCATTAACGTATAAATAATGACTTTTATCATCAGGCAGTTCAAACAGATTTCCATGAAAAAGATAAGATTCATAGAAAAAGCTAATAATAATTGTGTTTAAAAATAGGCAAATGTCATTAGATAGATAAGACTACTGCATTAAACAAAAGATAGAATAGAGCTATTCAAGGACACAACTATTTTTATATGTACTATATCAAACAGTTCTCTACGCCTACTAAGTCATATAAACAAATCGTATTTATAAAAGTAGATCGATTTCATTCAATCGTAAAAAATATTAACACAGCTATTTTTTATAGTCATTGATATTGATGTAATGATTTTTCATTTTCCCTACATCATCAATAATATACATTGATTTTTTAAGATAAAAAAAAAGATTTGTTTTTGAAGTAAAACTCAATATAATACAAGATCAATTCATTCGCTATATATGTACATTTATTCCTTCAATAATCACTAAAGTCTGTTATTTTGATAAACATCACATTTTTATTTTTCTACAATCTCAGAAAAACCATTCACGATACATTCGTTTTATTCTATGCATTGTTGTATTTCTCACTGCTACAACTATAATTATTGTACAATAACTACACGGTCCATTAAAAGTCTGTAGGTTACTTGTTGGAAAATCATTGCCCTTTTTATCCATACGATGCTACTTGTGGAGAACGACAGCGTTCAAATGAAATAGTTAGGTTTGCCATTTGAGGTTGTACATTATTTCGATTTGCTCTTTTTGCTTGAGATTTTCAATGATCGGAAATGATTATTGGCATTTTTATGTAATCGAATGCAACAGTAAATTAGGTTTTTTTTTAAAATATCAGTTCTATTTTATTTGTTCCTATGGTCATTTTTAGTAATTAGTTGAACTGTTTTTTGTTATAGAAAAGTAACTTTAACAATATTTTATATTCCAATCAAAAACATCAATAAAGATTAATAGATATTGATTCATTATAATTAACAACACTTTAATTTCTCTGATTTCGAATGTGCACTAAAATGTTGAGTATTGTTTTTCTGCTTTCGGAACTCGGTATTTTCAATTTCTACAAAAGTAATGTCAAATACCTACGTATTTCGGAATCATTCTTAGCACTCATTGAATAAGCAGTCGGTTTGTCGCCATTGAATCGCCTATGCTGGAATTCTATCAATTTAAGTCATTCGACACGATCTGTTTCATACAGTATCTGTTCTTTGGTCTTTATCTGTTTAACTCGCCGTGAAAGATATAATCATTGTTCTCTTAAGAAATTTCTTGGTGTGTTTTACGATATTGTCTATCTTTCATTCGATTAAGTACGAGATGATTTGATTTTCCAGCAAGTCTCCATGAACATAGTTGAAGTGGTCGAACGAAATTTTGTTTCGATGTAGAACCTTCTACTTCGACGCCAATGATAAGACTGGCATTTGTGTAATTATCTGGCCGTGTATCAATATCAAAATAAACATCACCGAGTACATAGATTGAAATCTGTTGGCGAACAAAATTTTATGTGATTGGCGAGGAATCATAGCGAGAGAGAAAAATTATGTTTATTACTTATTGCAGATACATGAAATATATTAATGTCAAAAAGTTCTGTGTAGAGTCAATTTCATGAATATATCACTGCTAATAGAACATACAAGTAATCGTTTTTAGACCTTAATTTGCCATTTTATGTTCCGATGACTCAATCTATCATTCTAAAAATGAATTTCGCATCATATTCAAAAGAATAGCACAGTTAGGTATGAACAAATAGTTGGATAAGTCGAGATTATTTTGATAATTCAAATGTAGTAAACCTATAAAATGTTATGTACCATAAAAATACAGCAAGAGTGTCGAATCTAAAACATTTCAATAAACCAGAACAGGGTTCAAAGTATTCCGCCCAACACTTCACACATAGATATCCTGAAGCTAGTTTTCATCTACTCCTTGCGTTTCATCGCACTGCTTTCTTCTATCAAGATTAGTTTCCTGAGCAATGTTAAATTGTAAAGAAATCATCAAAACGATATCGAATTTTTATTTATTGAAGGGTCAAGTCGTGTTTTTCATTTTTGTTAAACATGCAAAAGATTAACTATTCTTCAGATAACGAAATATACACTATTGCTGTTGTGTGTCGTTTTAGTACAAACGATGTCTTCGAAAACAATCTACTATTACTTATTCATTCTATGCCAGTAAGGATACAACCTACTATTTTCTACTGACTGAACGTTGCAAAGTCTTTCTTTAAAGCCTGACAGACTGTTTTTTCTCAAAATGTTTGCATTTGATTTAGTGCTTTGGTGGTTCAAGTCAACTCTCAATTTTGCAATGGTATGGCTCAATATGATGGATGTTCGATCAATAGTGGTTGTGGATGTTTACAGGTTGTAGGCGTCATTAATATCGGCAGTTGTAGCTATCTATACTTGGCAGAGTGCTCCGAACTAGTTAAATGCGATCATAATAACCTTTGCTATTCACCTGATCATATATGTGTGTATCATCCTCGATGTCAAAGTCTTCCTGTTTGTTATCCAGTACCGAATTACAATCAGCAACTCTGTCCACCAATATCAAGTAAGAGAATGATCAAGTGACCGAAGGCTGCGAATGTCAGTAGTTTCAAGTTTGACATATATGGCGAATGTAGTTGCGGATCTTCTTTTTTTATATAAATCCATCAAGCATGAGTCACACAACAACATCCAAAAGAATATATATCCACTACCGATTTTCATTTTTTGTGTAACAAAAATAAGACTTTAAAACGGTTTCAGAAATTTCGAGTTCACTTAGTTCGATCGTTACTGTGCAAGCTTAGCAACAATATCATTTTATATCTTTTTCTATGTTAGACGTAGCACTACGCTATAAAAAAAAAGTTCCTCCGGTGTACTCGTAGGAAGAACCTTTTTAGGTTTCGTATTCTTGGCTGAACCCTTTCAAGTTCGGTATGGTACTTCTTCTTTTTTAGAGTGTAAATGACCTGTTTACATCATTTTTTTTATGATAATCAATAGTGACGAACGCCACAACTACAACAACAATTTCAACTACAACTACAACCAGAACTCAGCAATTAGGTAACCTTTGATCAATCCCTCTTGGCTTTATTCATTTATATTATTTTTAATCTGATGTATATATTTACTTTTAATGAGAATTAAGTCTGCACAGGTACCCAGGTCGATCAAAACGGATATTGTTTACGGTCCGTTTAGATATCGTTTTTCACCGTAAACGCCCGTATACTGACCGTATTTTCTGACATGGGTAGCTAAGTTCACATTGATAAATTTAACTATCTTTTATCATGAATGATATGATTTTTAGCGTAAGAAAAAAAACAAAAGTGTGAAAAATCATATCAATTAGTTTTGGTCTTCCTCGACGCTCTCTGAGTTTTCTTGTTATCATCTATAAGATGATGATAGAGTGAATAGTTTTCGACATGTATATTTTCCACAATAAAAAATGAATTCAAACAAGAATATTCAGGAGTTTCTTTCTAGATACCATAGAGCAACAACTAAAATAGGCAGAGATATAAAAACACTTATTCTTCGAATGAAATTGCGTATGCAAATCACAAAACACTACTGATCTCATACAGTTATACAAATGGTGAATTCGAACAAATTCATCTAGTATCTCTTAATTAGCGTTGAACATCGAGCTTTCACTTGAGCAAATACATGTGGATATATTACAGTTAAGAAAAAAATTCATATCAATTTCATAGATTGCGCAGTTTTTATTTAATTCATGTGTTATTCAAAGTAAAAAAACACATTATGACTTATAAAATAAAACTATAAAAATATCACTGTAATGATTTTTCTTAATCATTATTCTATTAACGATATCTTTTTAGAGTTAGCTATGTTTTCAAAGAAACAATTTCAAAAAGACATGTCAAGTATATGAGAATTAGATAGAATATCATCTGTTTATAACATCAGACAGAAGTGCTTTAGTAAAATTTTGGAAAGAGATTTGAACAAACGTAAAGTAACAAGAATCTAATCGAAATAAAAGCATTTAATTAGCAGCTCACTCATACTAAAACTATCGGCTATAACGGTATTCTATGAAGCGTTACAAATATTTTTAATTCGTTATTTATACGAAGAAAATCTCTTCGGGTCTTATTAATAGCTAAGAAAACAGACTAATGTTTATCTCTCGTCAGAAACTTCTGCCGAATTATCTAACGTCACACCTCTAGACATAACCGAAGAAAATTTGAACTTATCCAAGAATTTTGAATTTCACACAACCCTTCACTTAACTTCTTCATACCATAATCTTGTATAGTTCTTACGTTAGAAAACCAATAACTGTTCTCATGAGACTTAGAATTGAGAAGTTGTCTACAATTTTATAATGTTTCCTACCAAGAAAATCTCTCACAGAATCCTTAATATTTCCCACTGAGAATATTCGTAGCGACTCTTACAGCTCTCTCTCTATGAATTATTAGAAATGGATTCTGTTATTTATAGACTTGATCATGTTATACTATTAGATTAACAAAAATTTCTGGAGTTTTATTTTACACATCTATGTTATCTTTCTAACACTACCAAGCGCACAAGAGAGAGAGAATGAGATAATCAAGATCTCATTCGCTTTTTGTCTCTTGCAGTTATGCCAAATATTCCTGCTAATTCGACATGGGCACAGAATGGTGTGACTGTTGCTGGACGGAGCGAAGGAGACAATTCTACCAATCAACTCTGGAACGCTGGTGGGCTCTTCGTTGATGATGATGAAACGGTGGTTATTGCTGACAGTTGGAATCATCGTATTATCCAATGGAAGAAAGGTTATGCGCATGGACAAATTGTTGCTGGTGGCAATGATAAAGGCATTCGATTAGATCAACTGAATGAGCCATCTGATGTATTAGTCGACAAAGAGACGGATAGTGCCATTATTTGTGATCGATGGAAACTACGAGTCGTACGATGGTCTCGTCATAATGGCACAAAACAAGGAGAAATCCTCATCGACAACATCGATTGTTACGGATTGGCCATGGATGATCAGAGATATCTCTATGTCTCCGACTACAGAAAATTCGAAGTAAGACGATATGGATTGGGAGACAAAAATGGCATTCTCGTGGCTGGTGGTAACGGCGGTGGTATTGATCTCGGTCAACTCAAATTTCCGAGTTATCTCTTTGTCGATCGACAGCAGAATGTCTACGTTATCGGACGAAAATAATTTTCGTGTTATGAAATGGAATAAAGGCGCAAAAGAAGGTATTGTCGTCGCTGGAGGTCACGACGCTGGGAATGCATCGACACAATTGTCATATCCTAAGGGAATCTTTGTCGATATGTTAGGTACAGTCTACGTGGCAGATAATTGGAGTCATCGTGTTATGCGTTGGCCTTCAGGAGCGAAACAAGGCGATGTAATTGCGGGCGGAAATGGCTATGGACTAGAAGCAAATCAGTTCGCCTACCCTGTGGGTCTGTCCTTCGATCGAAATGGCAATCTCTATGTCGTCGATCAATTTAATCGTCGTGTTCAACGATTTTCTCTTGTATAGACTCATGTGTAGTTTTCATTCATATGCTGACAATTACAAGAAATACTTACACTCTTACTTCAGTTCTGTCGCTTTTTTTCTGAACTTAAAATAAAGAATATACGTAGATATATAAGTTAATCAATCCTGCGTTCACACATCTGTCTCATAAATTTCTTTTTCGAAATTTCTCCCAGACGTTCGCATTCTTAATGATGTTTCCGTATTGCCACGAAATTTCTACTAATAGTAGATTCTGATGTGATTGCATAACAGTTCGCATACTTCTATTTCAAACTTACTGTTGAATAAAATACTGTTTCGATGAGTCGTATTCACGAAACATTTTTTTTAGTTGTACTATGATTTCATGTGCAGAATAATGATGCTAACATTCGGAATCAAATCATAGTTGAACTTTTCATTTTGATTTAATAAGATTTTCGTCCTCGAAGGGTCGGGAGTGGTCCGAACTCGACGGCACTGCAGTGTCGAGACGAACCGTGGCAAAGATTCACGGATGAATCTGCACATACGTCCAAAAATCCGCTTGAAAGAGCCCGATCCCGTAGGATCAGCGCCGGCTTTCAAACCGACGAGAACAGATACTTCACTTTGATCTTAGCTTTGCGGCTGAGAAGCGATGCCTATTCTTTCAGGTAGCCTGGCAGGACACCTGTTTTGTCCTTACACTTTTCAAAAACCTATGGCATGATTGAAAGTGACTTGCGAAAGAAAGACAAAAATTTTGCAATCCACGTGTGAATGAGGAAATTTGGTTTATTACAACAATTACTAATGAATCAGCAAATGTTCTGTGAGATGTTAGCATATTAGTGATGACGAAAAAAATACACCGAACATTTATGTATCTGGTTCTCGAACTACCTTTTGTAATTATTATCTATGATTCCTATCGAAGAGTGGAGGTAAATAGTCTGTAACGTCAATAATTGAAGATCAAACTTTAATTTTTTTTTGTGAAACATTAACTCAAATCGAGTTGCACAAATAGCTGCATTTTTTGTCATTTAGCGTAAATAGTAGATCTTGTAAACAATTATTTGCTTCACATCATCAGAGGAATATCTTTTCTTATTTGCTACATTTGGAGATTTTTATATGTTACTGCTTTTTACTTTTCTTTATGCTATCTATAACGTAGAACTCGTAGAGTAGCATTTTTCTTCAATCTACGTACATACAATAAAACATTCATTCATTCAATTTTTCTTATTACTTTTTTTTCTTAGAATTTTCTTTCATTTAATGTAGTATACTATTATGTAACACTCATTGTATGATTACATACAAGATTTTCTGTGCTTCCGGCAAGAGTATGAAGCATTATGAACAGGTCATTTCATTTTTACAAAATGATTACATCACATTCTTTAATTTTTTTGCTCTGTTCACTTTCAAAGCAAGTAAAGGAGAATCGGTAAAGTGGAAGGTTTACTTCTATTTGATTATGACTAGTTATTTGATATTTAATGAATAATTTTGATGTTTCACATTACAATAATTTATGGTTTCGTTTATTTTACAATACAAAATAAATATTTGAATAATGCACAAATATTGACTATAATACAACTGATTTCAATAAAACTACCGGTGAAAAATATAATAAAAATGAACAAGAGTCAATGATTTTCTCGTTTAAGTAGTTAGCAGTAAAAAATAATAAAAGATGTTTATAATTAAAAAAAAAATATATATATATATATACTGTTCCGCATTTAAAAATATACATTCTAGTCCTAAGCTGAGATGAAATAAAAGTTAAAGATCATATCACAAAAACGAAGACCTAATTCATGAGAGAAACTCAATCAGGACACAAAACTGATATACAACACTAAAGAACATAGAAAATGATTTTGTTTGTTTGTTTGTCTCTTATTAGCCCGTCGGCTTATAAAAACATGTTGTGACAAATTTTTGTTTATAACGTGCTGTTGTACTTAATACCATGACACCATCCTAAATATCAATTAATTCTTTCTAGAGAACTTAGATAGGAATACTTACACGAATTGATAATGCATAAAGATGTTTTAACATAACATGATTTGGTTCAGGTAATAGAGCCGGTTCATACTAAAATAATATCGATTTTATTATTTTTCTTTTCATACAAGTACTACTTTACATGTGCAGCCGTATCTTGATTAAGAATAATATTGAGAAGATGTGGTGGCAAAAATGGTGGTTTATCTGTTGGTAAAAATTCTTCACGATTTGCCGGCGGCCATGTTTTATCATAGAGACCCGGTGGTGAACGCGCCATTTCAGGATGATTTTCTATTTAATTCGAAGTAAAAATATTTTGCATCCGAGAAGAACTTACGCTTTTGTTTATTTATATTTGAACTATGACTGCTACTAGTGGTCATTGAATCTAATTGAAGTGCTTCCATAACTTCGAAATCACTTTTTTTCACAGTAACAACATTATTACGGCCACTATGACTATCGTCTACGGATGGCTATTAAACGGGAATAAATAAAATATCTAATGCAATATTGAATAAGAAAAATTGAATTTACTTCGTTCAAATCATATTCCCATCGGCCATCAATAAAAAACTTATACTCATGTCTTCCTTCAGGTAGATCCAAAATAGCAACAAAATCATTCTCACTAGAAAATTGTATTGTAATCGTGTTTTAAAAAGAAGAAAAAAGGAAGAAGAGTCTACCTTTTAACCATTACTATAGTCTCTTTCCAATTCGTAAATGAACCAGCTAATAAAGCTTCTTTATCTTTTGGTGAAGCTGGATATTTAAATACAACTGGAATAGTTTTTTTCCCGCTTTTTAATTCGGCATCTACAGCTTGTTGAGTAAGATACTGTTGCATTTGACGCTGATAGCGTATGCGTATTGGTAAACTCGGGTCTTGCCTTAATGAGATCTACATATTATAGAAAATAAACAACAAAGAAATTCTATGGCTTTTCTCTTCCAATATACGTATGTCAGCATTACTCGTTCTTCTAATGGTGATGGATTGGCATGCATTGATGACTCATTGTCAAGGGTCATGAAACGACCGTCTTCGGCATCTCGCTCGTACTGTGAATATATATCACTACGCGTACGACCTGTTGGCTGTTGATTACCCATCAACGAAAATAATATATTGAACCAAATAATGCTGATAGTTGCTTTCAGTTAATTAATAATAACAGTAAGGAGCTATTTGACCAACTCACCACAAGTCGACTGTAAATGTTACGAGTCTAAAATAATAATAATCAAACTAATAAACCCATTGGTTTTTTTCAAAGTTCACTCCTTTTTTACACATACAATTCTTTACTTTTATGTTTTTTTTCTCAAACATAATAAGAAAAAGAAGAAAAAAAGAACTCGTTTCTCACTCATACCGTTGGTTTTTTTTAATAATAATCCGTATGCGTGATATAATACAAAAAAAAACAAGACACTAGTACGTCGTACGTGCACATTGTTCATCTATTTTCATTGTCTTTCGTTTTTTTTTCATTTCTGTACGTGCAAACAAAAATTGCATTCTTACAACAAAATCACTATGAATCTTTGTTCAAGAAAAATAGATCCATCATCAAAAGAAGAAAAAAAAACAAAGAATTGATGCGCAACACAAACAAGAATAAATATCCAAGAGAAGAGATCAAATGAGGTATTAAGTTTTTTAGTTATAATAATAGTAGCAATACAAAACAACGAGTAGAGCAGAAATATGTATATATACAGCACGCACACATCAGAGAAAAACAACTGTACAAAGACACATACACACAATAGACAAAGACGAAAAAAAATTCAACCACAAAAAGTGCACGTAAATCCTCCAAGTATTTTAATTAATGCTGTTAATTGCGTTGATTCATCAACAGTTGTGTCACTTATATAAAAATTACATAATGAACAACGTTTAGCACGATCTTGAACGAAGATGGGTAAAAATGTTTTATTACAACGTTGAAAATCATGACCATTCGAACATGTTACATCGAAAAATGTTCGAATATGTAATGTTTGTCCGCACAATGGACAAAGAAGATATTTTTGATCACATGTTGATAAATATTGACTATTGATTTGAGCCGGTGGTGTTGGCCCATTCGATATCGCTATTGGTGTTGTTGTCATATTTGGATTTGCCATAGCAAGAAGTGAACCAAATTGTGCTGTTAAATTATTTCCTGTCAAATTTGTATGTGTATTACCACTATTGTTTGTTGCATTAGCTGATGCTTGTAATTGTTGAGTGGAAAACTGTAATAATTGTTCACACCAATAAAGTATAGATTTTTCAATGGGTGTCAATTGTAGTTGTGGTTCTGTTTGTTGTTTTGTTTGAACATAATCATATAATTTCTTGATTAAATCAATTGAAATCATTTGCGCAAAGACATCAGCTAAAAATAGCATATATGGCGCTTGTCTTAAACCATTGCCAAGACCACTATTATGATAGGATAGTAACAGACGACACAATGAATGGACTTTTTTTAATAAACTAACACTAGCTTGATCGGCACAATCAGCAACAGACATAATTAAATCTGTTAATGCATTGGATTTATCTGAATAAAGTAGAACGCGCAAGGCAGCTAAGACATCATTCAAACGAAACGATGGTAATGGATTCGACAGAAAAAATGTTATTGTTGATGATACATCTTTTAATGAATAAACTGATAATGTTAATATAGCTTCGTTACGTTTCATTGTTAATACAGTACAATGTGTTGGTGTTATACCTGCTGCTTGACAATCGGTACCTATTTAAACAAAAGTGCATTATATTTACTTAATTACTAGTAGAATCAGACGACTTCTTTTGTTGTCATAATTCGAGAATGAAAAAATAGATTGCTTTTCTTTTTAGTGTTTTTATCTCAATAATAATAACTAAGTCAATATGAACTTGAATGATGGCTATCGCGTTCAATATATAGACGTACTTCTTCTTTTTTTCATCTTCTTATCTCGAATACATAAGGGCATATGTTGTAGATTCTTTGTTTCTCAAGTTTTTACCTGCTGGTAATAATTGACAAAATTGTTCGAATCTCGTAGTTTGTTGTTGGTGATGATGATGATGTGGATCATTGAATGTTTGTGTTACTTGCTTATGTATAAAACCATCTCGACATATTAAATATAAATCTTGTGCATCCGATATAAAATGAGTTAATACACTTGAATTTAAAGCATATTCATTAACGGTTTTTATCGTAAATTGTGAACACGATGTATTATAACCAGTCGATGTTATATTTAATGTTGCTATAACGATTGAATCCATTTGAGCAAAGAATAATCGATGTTCATTATGTTGTTGATATAGTGCTATATGATGAATACGTGCGCCATTTGAAACAAGATGTGGAGATTCTTGTTTTGTATAAGCAAGCAATGGTGCCAATTCATTGCCAGTTAATGATATTGATATAAGTGACACATGTCCATGTGATGAACCAAGTGCTAATATGCCAGCTGTATCTGATAGAGAAAGCCATGCCATAGCTGATATAGAATTATGCGGTGAACGATATGGTAGATCATTTTTTGAATTATGTAAACCATTGGACATGGTCGGTGAATGACCAGACTTTTTCGCTGCCGATAATAATGATGGTTCATTGGCATTGGGTTCGAGTAAGGCGGCATAGGTTAATGTGAGATTGTTTGTTGGTTGCTGTTCGGATAATTGCCATATAGCAACATGACCGGATTCAAGGCCACAAAACAGTAGTACAAAACGTGACGGCGAATCACGCCGAAGAACATTCGACCAACCCAAGCAAGTTGGAACTAAAGTAAATAAAAAAAATATTTTAAATTTCTGTTTAATAATTCTAATAGGCAATGTGGCGTATTTTAGATATGGTTTCGGGTTCGTTATTTTTCCTGTTCGATGCTATACTCTCGATGATAGCGTGTAAGGAAAAAAATCGTTTTCTTTTTTCTTTTTGTTCTTTCTCGAACACGAAAAACAAGAGGCAATAATTACTCTCCTCTTTTTTTCCTTGTGCCTGTCAGAAAAAGAAAAGAAAGACATCTGTGTAGTTCTTTTCGAAATTCTTTTCCCTGATGAAAAAAAAAATTTTACTTTGGAGAAAAAAAGAACGTGAGATAGAAAAAAAAAGGAAATCAAGCCGCTTCTTCTATTTGCTCTCTTTCTAGCTAGTCATCTACTCAGAGAACATAAGTGGAGAAGATTTTTCTTCTTTTTCTTTTGTTTTATTCTTACCAAGTAAAGCTTCTTCATCACGTGACAATCCGCCACCAGATGATGTAGTTCCATTGCTAGTTGGTCCTTTGTGTGCATTCGTCGAATTGGTACCGGTGGTGCCGTTTCGTTCATCTAATTGTGATCTCCATCGTTTAGATACATTGAATAAAACAACCGGCGATTCTTGATTAGCATCACATATGACAAGTTGTCCAGTTGATGATGCGACAGCTAATAAACGTGCACCGTCTGGTCGTAATGAATCAGGACAGAAAAGAGCAAGTGGAGTATATGTATAATATCGTAAATCATCTTGTTCAAGATGTTGATCAAGTTGAAACCATGAAACAGTGAATAATTGAACTTTCCGTGAAGAATGACCGCTAAATGTTAATAATGTAAAACCAGTCGATGATGCTATTGCAAAACGAGACCAATCGGAACAAGAAATAGCGCCATCTTTGAGTGAGTCCGACGTTTGAAAGTGCTGCTCTTCTAGCAGCGAACAATCAAAGCCGCTCATGATATTTTATATAATTGGCCGCAACTAAAAATATAAACACATGACAACAAAACAAAAAAAATTATTTTTGACAAGTTACATCAGTACAAACAGAAGAAAAAAAAACAAGAATTATTACTAGGAACGAATAATGAAAGTACCTGTTAATAATACTGATCAAGTCTAGAAATTTAAAAATATTATTTTACATCAAACAGGCAAGAACAAATTCGAAAAATCTTTTCTTTTTTTCTCTTGTAGCGTTCGGTTGTTGCAGGAATGGATAGATCAGAACGCAAAGGAAAGAATGAGCAATAGCAGGGGGCGACAGAGAGAGAGACAATGGTGCTATGGAAAAAATTCAAGCGACGACGCTACAGAACAAATTGCCACCATTGTTTATGTATAAAAAACTCGATCATGTATATGACAAGAAGTCTGAAAAAGCATTGTTTTCACTCTTCATAATTTATTTATTTTTCAATAAACTAAATTCTTGAATTATATACAAAAGAAATCTCGATCAGTACAGATGTCACTCTCATACTAGTACATACAATCTTATAAATCTGACACATTGAATGTATATATATAACTGAATTTCAATAGATGCCGATAGGAACAGAGAATCAACTTATGCAGATTGAAAAAAAATACTTATTATACTTTCTTTTCATTCATAAATATTTATTCATTTATTATTCAAATATATTTTTACTTTATAAAGAACAACATGAAATCTTTCATATCGCGCAAGTAAAAGACATTAATAGATGGCGTTTCAACAATGGTAAAATTATTTCAAATCATTTAAAAGAAAATTTTTATTTAATTAATTCTTCAAATTAATGAGTTTTTTGGCATCATACTCATTCTGTCGCATAACTTACTTAAGTATAGAGGTACCGTACTTGATCAATGGTGACCTATTTTTTTTTCGACTTAATGTTTGTTCTTAAGCTTTTCTCTTTTTTTTCTTTCTCGTGAGTTATTGCTCAAGAGTTGTCTACGTGGCCAGGTGTGCCACGAGTTCACATTACTCATGTTGATGAGGTTTAAAAGGAAAGTTTCTTTGCATTGTATAATTTTTTAGATATACCTATCGTCATTTTATTTTGCTCATAAACGAATAAACTAACTTAGATACATATAACAGTCAAAATGGGAAACGTTTTTGCAAATCTTTTCAAGAATCTCTTTGGCAAAAAGGAAATGCGTATCTTGATGGTTGGTCTTGATGCTGCAGGTAAATTTATAATGAAGTAGAAAATTATGTGTTATACTTAATTGCTTTGATTTTTTCTAGGTAAAACAACAATTTTGTACAAATTAAAGTTAGGTGAAATTGTTACTACCATTCCAACTATCGGTAAATAGCAAAACATTTCTCTTGCACTTAAGATTGTTATATTTAATTGTAGGTTTCAATGTTGAAACTGTTGAATACAAAAATATAAGTTTTACAGTATGGGATGTTGGTGGTCAGGTAAGTGATTTGATTGATAAAAATAAAAGTTTTATGTTTAATTATTTCTTTTTTTTTGTATATCAGGATAAAATTCGACCATTATGGAGACATTATTTTCAAAATACTCAAGGTATAAATCTTTAATTGGCAATGAACACATCTAATAGTTTTCTTCCATTTCTAGGTTTAATTTTTGCTGTCGATAGTAATGATCGAGAACGTGTTGGTGAAGCTCGTGATGAACTACAACGTATGTTAGCAGAAGATGAATTACGTGAAGCAGTTCTTTTGATATGTGCTAACAAACAGGTTCGTTTCTATGTTCGTTCAAATTGGAAACATTCTTCTAGTCTATTTTTCTTTAAAGGATCTACCAAATGCTATGAATGCCGCCGAAATCACCGATAAATTAGGTCTTCATTCATTGCGTAATCGTAATTGGTATATCCAAGCAACATGTGCCACAAGTGGTGACGGCCTCTATGAAGGTCTTGATTGGCTTTCAAATCAGCTCAAGCATGCCAAATGAACAATTATGACAAATATTCATTGAGAGTGCTTGAAGATTGTCTTTTTCTTTTTTGTCTTTTGCAAATATATTCCAACATAAAAGAAAATATCATTGATATATCTGTGTTTCTCTTATTTACCATCGATCTTTTGAAAAAAAAACATACTCATAACTATGGAATGGATTGATGTATACATACACGAGTTTTTACTTTATATTTATTTCATTCTTATTATTCTCTTACTTCAAGGTGTTTTAGTATATGTAAGACAAATCCTATTTATCTAATGATCACTTCAAGTGCCCGTTTTTTTTTCTGTTGTGGAATTCTCTTTTTTTCTGTTCTTTTTCTATTCAAATTTTTTCTTTTTTTCGCGCGTTTATTGTTCGTTGTTATTTAAAAAATTTATTGGCGTGCATTGCTGTCTCATGAGTGAATAAGAGAAAAAATTAAAATAGATTGTTACGTGAACATGAAAAAAACCTTTGAAAAATATTTAGGTCAATAAAGATATTTAAAAAAATTAGTTTTCTGTTTCTATTTGAATAGATTTTTTAAAAGAACAATTTATCGAAGTACTCAAAGAGCGAACAGGAAGAAGAAAATAGAACAAGGCAGTATCTTATAACCTTCTAACTATAGATAAAATATAAACTTAAGCGAATTCATTCCTATTAATTCAATAGATAACATTTATTGTGATTTTTTTCTTATTCTCAGATTTTATTTGTTTTCAATATGTCAGTTCGCAATCGTTGCGAAAATGCACTATTATTCGTCGATTGCCTACTGAAAACATTCGGAGTATCAAGTGTTCTCTATGATTGCGTGCACATTCATAATAAACCGGGACATTAACGTGGGTTATACAGACTAGAATCGTCAAGCAGATTAATAATCCGAAATCACGATTAGATCTATCTGGATATGAGTAGAGAAGATTAGCAATCGAATTTTAACAAATCGTTTTTCTTGTTTTTAGATAATATTTTAATGATGAGTGTTATTATTTATTACCTAATTTTAATTTCAATATTTACTATCGAAATTAATGCTTGTAAGAAATGATTTTATTGTGCGGAAAACAAAAGTTATCTCTAATTTATTTTTCTTTGGATAGATCGAGGTGATTTTATGAGCAGTGTAAGAGATGGCTACAACCGATATGATCCCGATTCAACACTCAATGGTTTTTTTCCATTTTGGGGTATTGTTCTTTTATTACTTTCATGTAAGTGCTTTTGATCTATTTTATTTCTATTATAATTTTAATCTTTCATTGATTTAGTTGTATTTCTCTTGGTTGCTGTATTGGGTCTTGTCGGTTATTTCGTTGGTTGTCGAGCGCCACCAGAAAGGCTTCGTCATCAACTTGATCCGGCAACTTTTTATGCTTGATAATATTTTGCAATGTCTATTTTCAGTGTCAGATCTTAACATGTAAACATATAGATGAATATTGTTTTTTTTAAATTAGATATTTGTATCTCATTTTCATTCCGAATTCAAATTCGTCAGATTGTTTTCTTTTTTGTTGTTGTAAAATTTCGATACAAAGCGCCATTAGCTCACTAATTCTATAATTTTCACGAATGTTTACTATTGATAAAAATAAATTTCAACGAGAATATCTTGACGTTATTAATGGTTCAGTAAAAATTGTTACTCAAGAATATGATGCACGGGAAGCTAACATACAAATTATTATTGTGTGTATGGGTATTTTTGCTTTTGCTCTCTTGGAAGACTTTTTTCGTGCATTATTGCGTACATTAAAAAGTTGATATCATGCGAAAATATTCCTTGCATTATCTGCTTCATGACGTTATTTTATTTCGCCTGATTATGTGCATTTTACTTGCTGATAAAAAAAGTGTGAGTTTTTATTAAACATGGTTTATTGTCGCATACGCGCACATTGTTTGGCTCAACAATGCGAATGGAAAAAGGAATATAACGATATTATTGATTTGAAAAAAGATACAATTGATCATTTTCAAACATACAACATCGACAATGAATCATCTATTATTGTTTATTATGATGAAAAAGAAAAATGTGATCGAATATTTGATGATCTAGATGTTTTACCAACAGATAATACTACCGTGTTTGATATTTATGTTAAACGAGTTAGTTGTTTGTTGTTTACGAGTACCTATAGAATAAATCTTATATAATTCCTATAGATATGGGCCTGTTGTGCTGTCTGTTTTGGCCCATTTGACATTATACCTGACCGTCTTCCACTTGAATGTATTGAGAAACTTTGTCATGTTCAATATTGTGTTAACTGCGTAAATATTATATGTAAACCTAGTACGAGTCGTAAATTTACTTGTATATTTTGTAAGAAAACCAATGATCGACCTCAACGTAATATTTTACTTGAAAATATATTTCTTTGGAAACCATATACAAATAGATATGGTGCACATAGTACAGAACGTATAGAAACAATATTTAATGGGCCTAACATATCGGATGCTATTCATCGAATTGAAAATCGTCGAACGCATATTAAAATGTTACAAGCTACATTACAAAAACGTCTATCGACGATTGTAGATCAAGATTCTTATTCAGATGAAACCAAAAGCTATCTCCGAACAGCTGATCATTTAATTGATAAATTAGAATCATTTATAACACAATTGAGAGCATGCGAGCGAAATATCAGATCACAAGCGATCACTTTTCGAGCTCTCATAAATAATTATCGTACATTACTTCGAGATAGTATCTGTGAAAAGCCTTCGAAACAAGAAGCAGCTTCGTTTATTGTTTTATGTGCAAAATTATGTGTTGCTGATTATGATACTATAGAACGTATGATATCGATAGATGAACAATCGATTATTACTGACCCGAATTACATTTCTATGTATGCGGCTAATAAATTGAAAGATATGATTTTTAAAGAAAGTATTACATGTGTAAATGATATACTTGAAGATATTGGTTATAGACGCAGAATTATTGAAGAAAAACAACAGCAAATAGCTGAATTTTATTTGAATACTAGTTGTCATCCATTTCGTTTTTTCTATACTGTGCAACATGACAATGCAACAAAAATGCTTAGTTCATTTGATGAATTTGAAAAAAAATGTATTTGTTTTCGTGATATTTACTATCGAATCGATAGTATTATGCAAGAATATAGAGATGAATTAATGAAAAAAACATTAAATGATACATCCAATGAATATAGTTCATTACCTACATCAGAACAAATGGCTACATTTCAATGTTCACGATTGATACTTATATCTGAGTTATTACGTTCTGAAACAGACCGTATTGAAATGAACGCGCTTTTCCCTCGAATAACTGAAACAGTAAAACAATGGAAACAAACAAAAGATCATGATCCTAAAATTTATGATCTATTTTATGCATTAGAACAAGATCTTTTGCTGTTAAATGATCCAAATTGTTCTTTACTCAATATTATTCCATTTCGAGTAGGTTTTATTGGAAATATCAGTGTTGGTAAAAGTTCTCTAGTTAACTATTTACGTACTGAAAATTCCATATCTACACTTACTAATCGAACATTATCTCCAATAGCAGTTGGCCAGTCAACTGTTGGATCATTGCAATTTGATGAGCAACATCAATATTCGAATACACAACCTATTGTCACTATTCGCTATGTTGATATTGAAGGTTATACTGCTTGTAATACACTAGTACAAGCTGCATCTTATTTTGAACAAATTCAAAAGGCTGATTGTGATTTATATATTATTTTATTTACTGGTCAACAAGTAAGTTTTGAACGAGAATTAGAAAATGAAATTCGAGAACGATTGAATCGACCATGCTGGTATGTACGATCGAAAGTAGATAAGGAATTCGAAGAACACTTTAATGAACAAGTAACACGGCGAAAAAAGCATTATCATGATATAGAATTTGATGAGCATGAAGAAAAAGAACTAACTGAACAGATCATTGAAATGATTCGAGAGAAAACTATTGGAATATGTCAGACTTCACCAGATAATGTCTTCCTTGTTAATTCTCTTTATTCAAATAGTAAAACACATCCATTTGATATACATCTTCTTAGTGAACGATTGATTTATACTGCTCAACAACCGTATGTAAAAGAACGTATCAAACGGATGGCTATTATGGTATGTACTCGTATTATTGGCATTTATTTTCGTCGACGTTGTATTATATCATTTATTAATCATCAACGTCGAGCAGGTATCGGTGCAATGGTAATACCTTGGGGAGATCAACTAGCACTTGTACATACGCGTTTTGGTATTCGCCTGGCACTTGGAGTACAAGATCGATCATATTTGCATAATCGTATTTTGAACAAAGTTGATGCATTTACATCCCTACTAGTCAAGTATCAGTTAAACATTAACCCAAATGATCTTCAATCTGATGAATTTAATTATTTAAAAATAGACAATTCATCCATCTTGGTCAATACGCATGATCCTCAAAATGAATACTCGAGAACAATTTCGCTTGGAAGTGAATCAAAAACAGATTCATCAATAGTAAAAAAATTATCATCAGCAATGCCAGCAGGCGTAGTTGCAAGTGGTCTAGCAGTAAAAAAGATAGCAGCAGCTACTTTAGCTGTCGGTTCATTTGGGTATGGTATAAGTGTAGGTTTTTTCGGTTTAGGTTTTGTTGCATCGATTCCTATTGGCTTATGGACAATGAAAACATCAGGCCAAGAAATACGTAATTATCTAGATAAACTATGTGCTGATCTACTGATCATTTCAGAACATTTTGTTGTTGCCATTATTAATCAACAGGAAGCAGCAGTAGAGAACGACTCTTTAGAGCATAACAAATTTATTCTTAAAAATATTTGAATCTTTCATATTCCTTTTTTTTGGTATGAATAAATATTCGGGAAGGATGTGGATGAGAGTGTAGGTGCACACAGTGAGAGGTGTCCCATATCGGATGTATCGGGCATGCCAGAGATGTAAAGGGAGACACCCCCATAAAGAAATATAGCTCACATATAACACAAAACAAATGACAATAGCAAAATCATTCAAGCGCATTCTGCGTCTCCCGCACTTCTCCATAGAGAGAGGGTGTGGGTGTCTCGGTTTGTATCCGCCCTCTCCACACCCACTTGAAGATATATGTGTCGTGGTTGTTTCTTCGTGCGTCTCTGAATTCGTGTGTATGGTATTCTATGAGCACCCTTGCTTCCGTGCGTGTGTGCCGTTGGGTATAGCTGATATTCGGTATGAGAGTGTTTATTCACCGGCCTCTGGAATTTGATATGCATATGTAAGTGGACGTGCTGATGGTGTCCCTTTGCTTCGCCTTCTAGCGTCCTGCGTGCCTGGTTGTGCCTTCTTGTTGATTGAAACAAGGTCGGTGTATATATAGTTTTGTCACTGAATGGTGATTCCGAGTGAGGATGGGTCGTGAGCGGAAGCTAAGAAAATCCAAATTCCACTGACGATCATGGAACATGGAGATTCATGAGATGCGGCATCTCTCTGTGGAGAAGTGAGGAGATGCGGTATATACTAAAATTTTAAAGGTCTGTAACTATTATTGCGGTCTATCCGGCGTCTCCCTTAGCATCTCGAGCATGCCAGATATGTTGGATATGTGACACTGCTGCACACAGTTTTTGTTTGAAATCCATACGCTTCATCTTATATAAAGTTCAGAGAAACATGGATTATTTGCCGAATGTTTGATTGAGTTTTGTTTCTATTTTAACATCATCGGGACATTTTTATCAAACCTGTATAAACGCGATTTCAATATGAAATGCGTTCAGACACTGCCAATATGTTTTGGCATGCATTTAAATGATCAGTAAAATGGATGGTATGATCATAGTGCCTGAAAATCAAGGAAGAAACTATTAATTTTTTATGACTTTAAATCGAGCAATTTAATTATCGCAAAAAGTCAAATTTTCTGTCTTAATTCGACGTATTTTATTATAGCTTACATCTGTAGACAGATTGCGGTAGTTTAAACGAAGACCCCAGAGAATTAGATCTACCACAATCATTTTAAGAAAACGTTGTTTCTCAGTTTTTTTAATATTATTTCTCAAAGAATTGATAACGTTTTTTAATCTCATTTCAATGTTTTTCACATTTGAACAGTTTCCATCAATTCCTTTTCTTTTCCTTTTGTTTACATATTGTTTTTCGATTCTATGCTTTGCGTATATACGTATGCGAGAAAATGATACATTGGCACGTGTATATGTACATGCCCATTCTTGTTCGTTAATATAATGAATTACTATTCTTTAGATGATATGTGTTGATTGTGAAACCAATGAAGCAACAACGAAATAGTACTAATTATGATGATAATGACAAAAAAAGAAAAAAAATTAGATGATGATAAAAGTAATATTGAATCTTTGCATTTTTAAAAAAAATTTTATTTCATCATTTTAGTGATCGTATGCAATGTGAATAAGTTAGTGATGAAAAAATAGTTTGCCTTTCTTATTTAATTCCTATCTGTCTATTGTTTTTTCTTATTAAGATCATCATCTTTGACTCGTTTTGACAATTTTTCTAATGAAATTATTTATGAAATATTCGATTTCCTCGATATTTATCATGTTTATCAAGCTTTTTTCATGTTAATAAACGATTTGGAAAACTTCTTACTGATTCAACTATTCCTATTAAAATAAATATGTTATTTATGTCAAATTTGAATTTTCAACGCTATTATTCAAATATTATTATACCAAATAAACATCGAATTATTTCACTTGCTCTATCAAATTTATTCATTATTGATAATATTTTATCATCAGCACATTCTGTTTCATCGTTTAGTCGACTTGAAATACTTATTCTTGATAATATTGCAGCTAAACATCTGGAAAATATTCTTAATTATGTATTGTCGTTATCTAAACTCTGTTCGTTAACTATCCATGCTGTTGATTCAGTTGAAAATTCCAATTATTTTTATCGTAAAATATTTAAATTACCTGTACTGAAATATTGTAAAGTATCATTTGCAACAAACTCCAACATTGAATCATTATCGATGTCAAATAATGAATACAGTCCTATCGAAGATCTTATAATCGAAAATACAGTTAATTTTGATGCACTTGATCGTTTAGTATCATATGTTCCTGAACTTCGTCATTTAGAATTTCGTTATTTCCCAGATGAAAGAAAACGGCCTGAAACGGCATAAAAACGATGTGAAACGTTAGAAAGCAGCGCCGTTTTCCGTCAGCTCGGAAAACGAAGAGAATAGTGTTAAAAGCGATGGCCGTTTTCTAGCAATAAAAACGGCCCGTAAAACGAGCTGACGGATTACGGCGAAATAGGGTGAAAATTAATGCCGTTTTATAGCCGTTTCATGCCGTTTCCAATGGCCTTTCAGGCGGCGGGATGATCCTCCTGGGTTAGATGGATGTTATTGCAAACGAATACAAGTATGCCCAATTCGATTAGATTACTTATCAGATATTTCTCTCAGCCTCGTTTATATTTATTTTAATCAATTTGAACAAATAATAAAAGATATTTTTTATTGAGTACAATTCTTACGTATATCAACTGAAGATGATATTGAATATTTAGATGGTAATCGTTGGGAACAATTAATATTGTCTTATATGGCCCATCTACGTGTTTTTCATATGAATCATTCAAATTCTATATTATGTAATGATAGAATTCCATTATCATTTGATATTTTAGTAAAACAATTTACTAGTTCATTTTGGATTGAACGACAATGTTCATTCACACACCAAAACGATTGGATAGGTAGTATTACTATCGAAATTTGCTTTCAATGGATCCACATAAGTATGATCTAATTTTATGAAATGTAGATCTATGTTACGTTTATATTTTAGAAAAAACAGAAAAAAGAAAACGTTCAAATTAAAAGATGCAATTACTTGTTCATCTCATCAAGAAATTAACTTCAATTCTGTTAATCATATTCATATATGCTATACACAAGCACTGAACAATTGTGTAAATTATTTTCCAAATGTTACTGATCTTACTATGGATGATAAATTTGATACATCGATTACAACTAGTCTTAATCGAATTATTTCTTTATCGAGAATTACTAAACTAAGTAATCATTGAATTTCGTTGTTTTTCATTTATACAATTGATCGACTTATTATATTTAATGCCTAATATCCATGCATTAAAGCTTGGTTTCATATCAATTGATGATAGAGAAGATACGTTAACTGAACAAAGTCAATCTTTTCAATATGTGTATAATAGAAATATGATAAAAAGTATAATCGTAAACGAGAAATATTCATTACAAAAAATTAAAATACTTATAGCGTTATGTCCTCATGTAGAATATCTAAATATTGGAATTGAAAGAAAAGCATTAGCGCGGATAATGCGATTTCTATTATCTCAAACAAATGCTGGTGAATTATTCTTTTTATGTACTTCAGGAGTACCAAAATCATGTCGTGATGAAGTGCAAAAATTAATCCAATTAGAAAAACTTGTTCGTGATTATTTAATCAAGTTTATTAATGGTAATTTATATTTATGGTGGTAATGATAGGGACAAACTCTTTTTTCTTGTGTATTTTTTTGTTCAATAAATAAAAAGAATGCTCTTTTTGAGATAAATCTTTCAATCAAATCTTGATGTTTTTTAACAATTATAGATCATTTCGTTTCATTCATCGAAATTAAACGTTAGGGAAGTTAGCTCAAGATTCGAGTTTTTCCAGCCCCGATTCACGTATCTGATTGTGTTGGTCTTTATTTTCGCTGTGTTGGATGCAGAATTTTGCGCTGAATCNAATGCAATTCTACATCGAATGATGCTAAATTTTTATGGGGCCATCGACCAAAACATTTCTGGTCTCACCCAAGTCATCGCTCCGTGCCTCTATCCTACCAACACCCAAGTCAAAGAATTTTGGTCGATGACCCCATAAAAATTTAGCATCATCCGTTGTAGAATTGCATTCCGAATTCAACAGAACCATTTTCAGATCCAACACAGCTGAAGCAGCGAATCCGGGCTAAAATTACTTTCACAATATTTTTTAAAAAAAGTAGTATTTTCGGCTAAAGTCCCAGGTTTTAATTGGTACCCCCTCCAAAAATTACACCATTCGATTCAGCGCAAAATTCTGCATCCAACACAGCGAAAATAAAGACCAACACAATCAGATACGCGAATCGGGTCTGGAAAAACTCGAATCTTGAGCTAACTTCCCTAACGTTTCATATTTTATCTAAAAATACTATTTTGAGATAGATTTTCAAGTATTAAAACGAATTTTAATTTGGGAGAACATCCTTTAAGTACTTTAATACATACTTTTTTGTAATATATGTTGTTTTTTTTTATGTGATTTTATATTATAAAATGGTCATTAAAGTTTTTAAGCCAAATTACATCGAAAAATATTGAGCAATGTCTCATTTGAAAGAGCTTAGATAATTGCATCAATGATTATATATGACTTTTCTGAGTTGTGAAGGTTTTCTGGGAAAATGTTTGATTTTCCGAAATTTTTTAAAATTTTTTCCGAGAAATTTGTTACTATTTCCCACTTTTTATGATCGCTTTTAAAGTAAAAGAACATTTGACTATAGTCTACTGTAGAGCATTCAATTCTACACAAGATAAACTGACTTTCAACGCTTTTAATTGGGATCATCAGATCAAAATTTTGGAAATAAAGTTAGTGGGCTACCATATTAGAGTTCAAATACGTAATAAATCTAAAGATAATAAATAATCATAATCTTCCTTAGAAAATGAAATAAAATCTTATCGGCAAAAGTATTTTTGATTTTCTTTTCTATATTCATTCGCAATATGACATCAAATATTTTATTTAAAAAATCATTTTAATGCAAATTAGACACCGGGATTTGAAAAAGACAATTCTTTTCATATCTTTGGTGCGTTCAAAGATTTGCCATCAGTAATAAATGCTTGTATATTTTCAAAAGTCACCTTAGCTATGAAAGACAATGCTTCGTGTGTAAGAAAGGCTTGATGGCCAGTAAGTATCACATTTGGATAGGACATCAATTGAACAAGTATATCATCATCAATAATATTCGATGAGTAATCATTGAAAAAATATTTTTGTTCATGTTCATATACATCAAGACCTACACCACCTATGTGGCCTGATTTAAGAGCATTAATAAGTGCTTTTGTATCAATAAGACCACCACGAGCTGTATTGATTAAAATAACATTTTTTTTCATTTTTTCTATCGATTGTGTATTTATTAAATGTTTAGTTTTTTTATCAAGTGGTAAATGAATCGAAATAATATCAGCTTGTGTATAAATTTCATCTAATTCAACATATTCAAAACCTAATATATTTCGATCTTCATCTTTTATTTTATACATATCATATGCAAGAACTCGACAACCAAAACCACGAAAAATTCGAATTGTAAATTGGCCGATACGACCTGTACCTATATAGGAAATAGAATATCCATTTTAATGTCATTAAATAGTCTACCAAGTACTCCAACAGTTTTTCCATACATATCGAAACCAACAAGACCGTCAAGTCGAAAATCTCCATTTCGAACTCGATTATATGCATGATGTAAATGACGATTCAACGTCATAACAAGTGCAACCGCATGTTCAGCAACAGCATTTGGTGAATAACTCGGTACATAACCTATTTCAATATGAAATTCTTCAGCAGCTTTCAGATCAACATTATTAAAACCAGCACAACGTAACAGAATAAGTTTAATGCCAATCTGTTTTAATTTTTCGAGAATTTCACGTGATCCATCATCATTGACAAAAATACATATACATGTATAACCATTAGCCTGTTTAACAGAATCGTTTGAAAGACGCTGATGAGTATAATTAATCTCATAGTTTTCAGGTTGTTTTAAGTATTTTAGCTTAGTATCAAACGATAATCGATCATACTCTTTAGTACTATACATTAATACACGAAAAATTGATTTTTCATCGATATTATTTGATAAAACAGTATCATTATGTCGACGTTTCATTGCTTTCAAGACAGAAAACAACAAATAAAATGAGGCAAACAATTGAATCCTAGCAACTGATTTCAATTAATAGAATTTTCTGTTCATGTGTCTTGCTATTCTCTTTATTTATTAAATATTTGTTTTTTAGTTATTCAATCAAATACAACTCTTAGGCTTTTTGTGCATGAGTAATAACGAGAATCACACATGCTGTTCTTATTATTATTTTTTATGAGATAATGCTCATTCGAAAACAAAAAAACGAGCTAAAATTATTTTTTTTTCTTTTCTATTGATAACTTTTGTCAACTACACCAACAGTGTATTTCTTAGTTGTAGTGGCAAGATGATCACTATATTCTTGAAACGGTGCTTTAGTGAAAACAGTTTCTTTCCATAGATCAGGCGTTAAATATGAATATGTCATGGACATGGCAGCATACGTTGCTTTAGCTGTAAAATAAAAATAAGAAATCAACATAATTAGAAGTAAGAAAAAACAAATATAAAACAAACCGAAATTGCCAAGTGTAGCGGTACATCCTTTGGCAGCGGTCCAACAATCTTGAATACCAGCCATTTGTAAAAGTTTCTTTGGTACTGGGGCACATACAAGACTTGTACCACGAGGAGCTGGAATTAAACGTACGAGAACACTACCACATGAGCCTGTGACCTAAAGAGAAATTTTGTATAGGAATTAATTTACTATCGAGATATTCATACTTTGCATGGTACTGTATGCGGTGCACCGATTTTGTTACCCCAATAACCTCGTCGTACGGGAATAACGGAAAGTTTGGCAAGTATAATAGCACCACGAATGGCTGTTGCTACTTCTTTCGAGCATTTAACACCGAGACCAATATGACCTTTACCATCACCAACGACAACGATGGCTTTGAAACGAGTACGTTGACCAGCTCGTGTTTGTTTCTGTACGGGCATAATTTTAAGTACTTCATCTTTAAGGTCAGGTAAGAGACGATCGATAATATCGGCTTCCTAGAAATGATTTTTTTAACGATAAAAATTGATAAAGAAAAAATTCAACAAACTTTGATTGGTAATGAAAATAGATAAATTTCTTCGATTGTACGAATTTTGCCATCATTAACTAATCGACCCAGTTTTGTAACAGGGACCCATGCTTTAGTTGAATCTTCTTTTGGACGTTGACCACGACGACCACGACCTCGACCACGGCCTAAATCAATAATATCCTAGAGAACTTGTTCTGGAAAATGTTTTTTATTTTATTTACTGTCACCGCGACCTCGTCCACGGCCTTCGCCACCTTCACCACGTGAAGCACCACCACGTCCTATAAAGATTAAAAGCAAAGTCTTTTTCAATGAATTATCATATAAATACCTCCCCGTGTGCCAAATCCACCGCGAGTTCCACCACGTTCTGCCATATGTGATGTTTTACTAGATATTTATCTGAAAAAAAAACGAAACCCAAATTAATTATCGAAAACAAAACAAACTATTTTAGTATTAAGAAAAAAATAATCGTTTTGTATTTAAATAAATTTTTTCACATAATTCCTCAAGTGACTCTTGATTACCACGAATCGAATGAAGTACTTCGCATATTTGACTAAAAACATTACATATATATATATATATATATATACAAGTAAATTTATAAATATAAGTACTTACATAATCGTGCATGGCTCATTTCGATCTTTTACCATTTTACCTGAGATCCATTTTTCTTTTTTAACTGTTTCCGTTGTAAAGTGTGTTTTAGTATGCGAATAACATGCATGCGATGCTTTAATACCGCACCAGGGAGCGTCTAGAAAAATGATTTCGATTATATTATATAATCAAAACGCAATCCTCTATATTACAAACCTGTTTCAACAAGAAGTTTATCCAATGGTAATTGTTTTATAACATCTAGATTAGCTTGAGTTTTCATTGAACATCCATTTAATCCAATAAAATAACCCAGTTGAATAAATTGCAATGCTTCATCAAGAGTACCATCAAACGAATGAATCTAATCGATAAAAATAAATATTTTCTTGGTTAAGATTAAGGTGATTGAACATACCACTCCACCCAGTTTTATTTGATCTCTATATTTAGATAAAATATCATAGAGATCTTGTGATGCAGCTCGATTATGAAGAAATAATGGTTTCTCTAATGATATTAAATTCTTCAACTGAAATTCAAAATAACTAATAAACATTTTAATAGAATATCTCGATAATTTCGAAACGATTTACTGTTTCTGCTGTTCAATACCACAAAATTGAGTTCGTTCATAATCCAATCCGAATTCACCAATCGCAACAATTTTATTCGAATTTATCTGACATAATTCAATTATTTGCTGAAGAATTTCATTTTCATTCGATTCATTAAATTCACTACATCGTGTAGGATGATAACCACAAGTTGTATATAAATTTTCTATTGAATGAAAATTTTCTATTATAATACAGCCACCAACTAGACTATTACCATATTTAGAACATAATTCTAATGCTTGAATCGTTTCATGATGAGTGCCAGCAGTGATTATAATCTTAACAAACAAAAATGAGCAAATAAAAAAACCAAAGGGAAAAAAATATCAAGCTACTTTGTCAAGACCAGATTCAAATGCTCGTTTGATCACTTGATCAAGATCAGCTAAATATTTTACATTTAAATTATATTCATTAATCTTGGCTCAGTTCTTACGATCATGTTTTTTTGAACTACCATAAACACCTTGATACATTCCATCTGCAAATAGCGACTTTTCTTTTTTAAATCTAATAATTCAATCTACCAAAATTTTATTCATACCAGTCAAATTAGCACCAATATCTAAGAGAAAAATGACCGATAATAATATTGTGATCTATCTATAGGATGTTTCAAGTGTTTGGCAATTCTGTTGTTTACCATCAAACGGGCATTAACTTTATTAGTATATTTATCTTTATTCCATACTATAAACTTATATCAGAACAAAAAAACGTTTTCCATGACCTATGCACATTTTGTCATTGAATTTTTATTATTCGTAGAGTTTACATCTATTTAACTTTCTAAGAGTTCTGTTTCTTCTATTTATCAGAAAATGAAGAAAAAAAAGAAAGGAAAAAAATCTGAGAATTTCTTTCCTTTCTTTTTCTTCTCTATCTAAAAGCAAAGAAATTGTGTACGTGACGAGTAGGTAACTTAGCAACTGAACAAACACGTATACGACTCTTTCTAAAGCACACATTTACGATTCAAGCATTGTGCCGTTGGTTGTTTCAACATATAAACCTAAACGCACGATAATCGCTTTCGTTGATACTTTTATTTTCATAAAAATAGCAACAAAATGATGTATATGCCAGCAACAACAGCAGCTATGCCAGTTATGCTGCAAGAAACACAACAACCCCAACTGCAATCGTCATCACGCTACTATATGCTACAAACGGCACCTGTTATTCCAGCTGTACCAGTTCTGAATACAACATATATCTATCCGCGATATGGATTCGTACCTAAACCAGTTGAAACATCTGTTACCAAAGATGAAATTGAAAAAATGCAGCCAACACAAATATTCGAGCGTATGTTGCTTTGCTGCTCTTCATGAATTTATACGAATAATTTATTTAGTTTCACAACCAGTGCAACATGTTGTACATCATCACGTACAGCCATGTGGAACAAAAACATGTCCGGGTTATTGTGAATTATGTTGTCCATGGACCGAACAACCTCAAGCACGATCAACTTCACCAAAACCTAATGAACATCATCATCATCACCATCGACATTCTCGCCGTGATGAATTCGAACGTGATGAATTTGATCAAACACATCCATCAAATCACGAAACAATCGATGAAAAAATAGAACGAATTCGACGTGAATTACGTGACAATTCATTACCACGACGTAACCAATCAACCGACACCACTGATATTATTGAACATCATCATATTCATCCTCGATCACGTTCAAATTCTCGTCCACGTAGTGCATCAGCAACACGTGGTCCATGGCGTTCATCAAATCAAAATGATTATCCATGGCGTGATTCTCATTTACCAGCTTATCGTGAAGCAACCTTCGCTCGTGCTCAAACGCCTGTTGACGAAACTCGTGTATGGAAAGAAACAGCACATGAACGTAGCCATCAAAATACAAAACATCCAACAACATATTATAGTAAAAAAGATTATGTTTATCGACCAAAATCCGAAGTTGAAGCACGTAAATATTATGTACAATCAACAGGCAAAGATCCCGATCGTGAAGTTCATCAAGCATTACGTGGTGGCACAACAACATATAAATATAACGATGCAGCAACATCTTACTATGATAAACATCAAAGTACAAGTTATGATCATTCATTTTATTCCGATTTACCAAAATCAACAACAACCAAAACGCATACATTAAGAAAAGTCGATTCAACAAATCATCATAATTTATACGCATGTAATGAACCTTGTTTACATGTCGTACCTAAAAATGGTAGTACATCAGATCCACCTTATATGAAAATTCTTAATGCACCCGTAACATATCTTCATTAAATTGACACTGTTCATTTATGGAATGTTTTCTTTCTAGTATTTATTGAGCAAGAATATCTATAAATATTTTGTGTTGTATCCATTTAAAAGCAAAAGACTTCGCATTTTCGTTTATCGGATCAACTTCATGAATAAATACTGTTTCTAAGAAGAATTCATCGGTGAAAAAATAATCATAGGTCGACAAAAAAGTCATTGAGAGATATTTCGTCAACATGACATAACAATCTATTTCATAAATTATAGTGAAACATATGATTGATCAAGGACTGTTACGGTCGGTAAAGTTTCCATGGTTATATTTGTCATAGTCTACTTCCTCTCTCTTTCATTTACTTTAACACTTCGTTTCGATCATGTTTCGTAAAATACTTCAAGTTCGAGTATAACAACAACATATATCCTATATCAAGAAAAACTAAAATATCATCTTACCGATAAACTTAAGTCGACCATGATTGAATTTTTTTGTCGCCATCGGAAAAATATCTGAAATAGGAACATAAATATTGTCTTTTGCTTGTTATTATTATCTTTCACGCACACAAATACATAACGAAAAAAGCAAACTGAATAATCATAATAAGCAAACAAATGAATTATAAGTTATATTGTAGGAAAACAAAACAAAAAGCCACGCTCAAGTTCGTCATAAATACACTCAAATTATTGAACAAGTAATAAGCATCTAAACATATGTACACATTAAGTCACGCGTACGAATTTATAGCGAAGACAAAAAACAGTAACTGTTTTCATAGCGATATACATCATATGAATCAATAGAAAAATTATTGCAGAAAAAACAAATAAACTGTTGCATATATTTATATGCAATTCTATTAGTAATTAAGAGATCTTGAAGATCTGACACAATAATAATGTTCATAACAGCTAAATAGGATTGATTTTTTTAGGAAGAAAATATGGATTCAATTGGAGATTCATCAGAAAAACAGGCATTGCATAAAAGAAAACAATAGAGCCAATAGATAGAAATTGCTAAGATATAATAAGAAGTGATTTGCGTTGCGATTGTGTAAATTCGACACTTGCTGATCGTCGTAATGTTAAATAGGATAATGCTGATGATTGCTGTTGGGAAGATACTTGATTGGAATTCGTATGATTTTGTGATGAATTCGATTGATTTGAAGCTAACATGGAGCTCGATGATGGTTGTTGAAGACGATTATTAATCATTGACAGAGCCTAATCAAATAGAAAAAGGAAAAGAAAACAATTTGTCGAATAGACTTTGAAATAGGAAACTTTTACTTCAAGTTTGATTGCTTTTTCTTTCGTTAGTAGTTCATCGGGAAATGATATTTGATTCTCTTTTGCTATTTGTCGTAAATCAAAATAATATTTAGCATATATAGATGAAGCAACATTAACATTGAACTGAAGAAGTTGAACATATTCACGTTCTAATTCATTCCTGAAACGAAAAGTTTATATTGTTTATCGAAATAAAAACAAAATTTTAATGAGCCTCTTGACATATTCATATCCTTCTTGTTTTTCTCTTCCACATTGATAATTTTAAATTTTGTTTGAAAAGAATTTTCACCTTTTGACCTAAGTAAGGAAAACATACGCTTGTCAAGGACTGTGACAGACGTTAGTCAAACACCAGCATAAAATGTAACAGACATTTGCCAGCAACTGTGACAGGCGTTCGTTATAGACGTAGACACATACGCGCCAAATATCAACGCAAACACCTTCATAACACTATTTCTGTGTATAAATAGCATCTTATTATAGTATTTAGACCACTTTCTAATTGGATTACAGAAGAAGAATGATGAAGAAGTATGTTCGAAACAATTCTATTAGTAATAGTGTTAAGCTTGTATTTTACATTTTCAATTCCTCAGGGATCATGTTAATGGCTTTTTTTCTACTTACATTGCATTAACAGTAATGTCCTTCAAAATTTGACAGAAGTCAACATTCCATACTGCTTGGTCGTCCCATACTTTTGATGCTAACATGACCGCTCCTACAGATAACGAAATCATATTTAGTTTCTGACATTATGAAGAAAACTAAAACGAACCCAGCACAAGTCGTTTCCAATTCGATGGACATAGATCAAGTTCGCCATAACTCAAAACACGTTCGAGATAAACCTAAAAGTAGATGATCTGAGTCAAATGAATAATTTAGGAAATAATTTCTCCAGTTTTATAATAAAAAAAAACAACATGTATGAATTTTAGAACAAGTTTTTAAATCGCACCACTCATGGGAAATTTATTCATCTTTTCGTATTCATAATTCCATTTTCCTTGTCTGATTCTTATATTAAAAAAGAACAGAATTTACCAATGTAACAATAGCACATTCGGCGGTTAATTGTGCAGCAGTGAAAAGAACACGCATAAAACGATAAATGGTGTTTTGTTCAGGTATTCGTATATCATAATCATCCGGTAGCAGTTCTTTCTAAAACAAAAAATAGAAAGAGGTCCAATGAGTTTCCATAAGAAGTTGAATAATTCTTTATAACATACACTTAATGGATGAAGTTTTTCATCGAATATCTCCATTGTTTTATTTGATTTTCTATGTAGAATATGTGAATGTATAGCAATACTAACACATTTGATCATTGCTTTCCAATTCGGTTGTGAAACCGTTGAGTCATCGACGTAAATCGTCGAACATGAATTCGAATGTTTGAGTGATTTATGTGTCGCTGCTGGACGATTTGTATCAGTTTGACATCGTGGTGGAGTAGGTGAAAGTGAAGACGAGGAATCTAATGCTGTTCGATGCAACTTTAGATTCATAGACAAATGCGTAGCATTATCGCGAGAATTCGATGATTCGGGTAATACTTCATTTGTCTGAACGATGAAAAATAAAAGTATTGCTAATAACAAAAGAAAATCATTAAGACTTTACTTTGGACTGAGCTGATGCTGAATTTGATTGTTGTACAAGCTCTTTCGGTGGATCTATTTAAAATAAAATAGCTCATTTATTATTAAATCATTTTACTAACGTATAATCGACTGGAAATATGTTGATGTTTTTGGATTATCAGATGGAGCAAGTTCAACATCACTATCTGAAATATGTATATATACTCAATGAAAACAAAAATCGGTTTGTTTTTAAAAATAGCACATACTAATCCCGTAAATTTCGGAAACATGAACTTTATTGTCATATGCTTTGGAAGTTGTATCAATTACATTTGTCGGTTGATAAGTTTCACTACGAAAAAGAGATAAATTTTTATTGCTTCATGTTTCTGAAATTTTACTTGTATTTCTTTGATTCTCTATCACAACAATAACAGCAACAACTGATGATGGCACCCATCAATGAACATTTTACATAAAATAGATATACCTCGTACTGGTCATCATTTTTTCTATGTATAAAAATAAACAAATCGTTTGAGATATTCGCTGAATGGTAGTATCGAAATATGATTCATCAAAATACTGTTGGATTGTCGAAAAAAAAATCCTCTCAACGTTAGAAAAAGAAATTTTTTATTGAAACATTTGTTTCAATAATATAATATTTCCGAATGAAAATTACTTTGATTGTTTTTTTTTATCAGCTACTTTAACGAACGCGAATGCAAATACAGATGTCACTGGTGGATATTGATTTTTCCCTACAGTTTAAAACTTGAAAAGGTCTATAATTTAATAAAATCTTTACATTGAATATACTGCTTAACGAATGAATTATGTATTTCTTCGTCTATATCAGAATTGATGATCTCGATTAAAAGCTCTTAGTGTATTTTTCATCGTATTATATATAACTACTACATAGATACCTTCTTTAAAATGTGTATTGATGATATGCGTATCAAGAACATATGCATGTATTCACATATTTTTATTCTTTTCATGACTGACTGGCTTTTGCTTTTTTAACGCTTATTCTCACGTAAATCTTATTTACGTTTACCTTTCTCTGTGACTGATAGAAAGCTTATATCGATCATTTACTTTATCGCAAAAATAAGTGATGAAGTTTGGAATATTTTCATATGCTATTCTATTTGTATTAAGTAAGATTATCTAGAAAATATTTAAAACCAAAAGAAATCAGTATCTCTGATTTAGTTCCATTGATAAGCACTACGACTAACCAGTTAAAATGTTATGTTTGCAATTCAAATGTCGATGAAGGTTGTGATGGTGATTCTGTACCAGACGTCTATAAAGTTAAATGTAGTGCTATGATTCGTCCTTATTGTCGAAAAATCATTCAAACCGGTAACAATAGATAAAACCAACCAGGACTCTAATGGTTTTATTTAGTCGGTGAACAGAAAAGTGTTGTACGAACATGTGGTTCCGCAGCTGGATCAAAATCATGTTATAAAACACCCGGAAAAAATAATGTATAGAATAGATTTTGTCTCGATTATGATTTGTTCGTTTTCTTTTATAGGCACAAGTTTGTTCGTATAACCATGATTTTTGTAATCAGGCAACAAGTTTTAATCGACAAGAACGAATCATGACCATGATGTCATCGATTATTATTCTTACAATTTCCATGCTTATAATTCGTTAATATCGTACATGAAATTGATATTTCCATTTCATTTAGTATTTTTCTTTTCAACACTAATGTTCATAGGCAAAGGATCTTTCTATTCTATGTATTGCAGTATTTCATCTTTCTTTTTCTCCACTGTTTTCTTACTCTGATATTTATGCTTAGTGATAATGTATTTGGGTTTTTTCCTGTGATTTACCTAGAAAAGTTAAAATTAAGAAATTATTGATAGAATCGTTTATTTTCTGATGATTCACACAAAAGAGAAAACGTTACACTAAATTAACTATCTACAATGTTTAATAGTCGTATGTATCAATATCATCAGCGAAATTATTATTTTGAAGTGAATCAAAAATCGATGTCGGAATCGGATATCGAAGCAACGCAATACATCCACCGAAACCAAGTCGAAGTTGTTGTCCTTCTGGTGAACGATCTGTAACTAGATATAAACGAAGATTCATAGCTTTATAATTTTCAGTTAGATAATCAATTAAATTCATTTCTTCGATGCAATCGATTTGTTCATTTTCGTTTTCTTTTAATAATACTTTCAATTTCTTTTGTGCTTCTTGTTCATTATCAGCAACAATAACAATGTTTTCTTCATTACGTTTTTGATAAACGTAACGTTTCGTAGCTAAATTTTCCCAAAGAATCAAACGATCAATAAGACTACTGCCCTCTCGAAGAACAATTGATATTTCATCGGCAGCAATCGCATACGAAATCATATTTGATTCGTTTGTTGTTGTTGAAAGGTTGATTTGAGAAAAAGCCTCTTCAAGTAACTGTCTTTCTTGTGTTAATTTAATATCCGCAAATAGATCAGCACATAAACGAAGTGTTTCCTGTAAACCATTATCAGCACCGTAACTTACGTCAATCATTCGAATAATTTTCGTTTGTATTTGATTTCCAAGTAAATCGCTTTTAACAAGTTCTTGTTTTAAATTAGCTGAACCACTTATTATAATTCCATCAATATTAGCTAAACCATGTTGTTGACTATTCAGATATACTGATTTTGCATGTTCAGCAACTTTACTTAAATAGTTATGAATAGCTTCACGACGTAAACGGTCAAAACGTGGTGCCGATTGTCCACCACGACCGTGTTTTTTGGGTAAACTAACTTGAATACGTTTGAGAATAGTTGTACCTTGTTGTGGATCTAGACGAGCAAATAATGTTCCATTACCATCAATAACAATGATACCATATCGACGTGCTTGTAAATCATTTGTACTATCGTTGATTTGTTGTTGAAGAAAATCAGTAATGAAATGTGCTTCACATCGATATAAACCATGTTGTAACGGTTGTAAAGGTTCAATACACATGGAAATTTTCGTTTCACGATGTTGTTCCTCATCGTATACGATGCCTGTATAGAGAACGAGACCATTTTCTGGCAATGTATTTTGTGTATATAAACGAAGTTTTCCTTGAGCAGACGATAATGCTTGTTGAACATTGTGTCTCGTTTGAGAAGATTTTATGCATGACGATAGACCATATTCATCAGTGAGAAGTTTCATGGTCCGTGCTAATTGTGATTGAGCTGGAACAATCATTGTGACTAATGACGTGCCGCGCCCACGCATTGATGATAAATATTGAACTGTTCGGCGAAGTTTCCATTTTTCAATGTCGGAATTATCGTTTTGGATTGCTGTAGCCATGAAGAATATTGTATATAAGATACTTGAAAGTCTATCAAAGTTCTAATGTCCATTGGAATCATGTTCATTGAGTTTTTATAGCTGAGAATAAAACAGCAAGAAACACATGCGTGGCTAGATGTACTACTGAAATTTCAGAGTTTCATAACTTGTAATAATTACGAAATTTCAACATTTTATACTAGGTGAAGTAATTGCGAAATTTACATGCAGGACAGAACGAGAAGAAAGGAAAGAAAGAAAGAAAGAAAGAAAGAAGTGTAGATTACCAAAGCACGTCATAGTTTCTTGTATCAAGAGCATAAATATATGCCTGGGATTATTTTCCTTTATGTCTAGTAAAATCTTACTAATCAATCGCATTTTAGAAGTCTTTTAGATGTTGCTAATCGATTGCAACATGTAGATTTTATCAATAAATAAAATATACTTTTGAAGCACATACTACGAAGGTAACAAATCAAAACGAAATTCAATAAAAAGTCTCGTTTTCATACTCCGTAGCGACCAGAACTAAATCTGTTGCTGATAATAGTTTGACTTGTATTGAAAAATCGAGGTGATAATAACCACTGAATTGGAAGCGGGTTTCTTCATTTATTATTAAGTCGTCGAATGTACATTATCTGTCCGTAGTTTTTGTTAGTTTAACCATTCCATATCAATTGTTTTATTAGAGGCATCTTGGCTAAAATCGTATCTTATGATCAATAATTTTTTTTTGTTTATCTAACTATGAGTTTTTGAAAAACATAAGTACTCTGAAAACATTGAATGATTTTTTTTCTCACTTTTATTTCAAAAACAAAAATTCCATGAGAAAATATGACACTGATAAAAGTACACCGAATAATAAAAAACAATGAGAAACGATAAATAGGCTCGATTACTTATTTACACAAACATATCACGGTGACATTATCTAAACTATGTCCTATGTCATAAATTGGCCAATAAATTGATCGTCAAATAATTAACATTCTCTCGGCGGTGTAGATCTGTCTTGTTAATCATCTAGATATACTTGAGAGAGAGAGAGAGAGAGAAATTCATTTAATAAATAGTTGAATTGTTTTTGTCTCAAATAGATTTTATTCTGGGAAGATCAAGTGCACCACCGATCACTGATAAATATTTTCAATTAAGCCGTAGATTTATTTATTTTGAAAATGTCTGCCAAAATTTTTTTTGTTTGTCATAGACGAACATTCTTCTAATATACATTTTACAACCTGAAGATTTACGATAATAAAAACAAAATAGCGAATATATATTCAGCTAATTGCTTTTGAATTCAATTTATACTGTACCAAACGATGTAATGAATAGTAATTGTAACTCACATTCTTTGGTATTACATATTATACACAATCCGTACTAAATCCCTTTATATCATTGCATAAATTATGTTTGATTTGTTAAAGCCGTTTGGATAATAGTTAAAATTCCTCAGCATTAACATAAAACGTTTTGAAAGATTAGCAACATTATCATTACGCATGTAAAATCATGATTGATTTGACTTGTGTTTTTCAATGGGAAAAAAAACGTTTATTTTGATTATTATAGGAGATAATATTTTACAGGTATAGGATGGATACGTCGATACTTGATGATGACTAAATATGTAAACGATAGAGATATACATCAAGACAAAAAAATGATGATATGTATCATACCTCCCTAATAGACAAATGGCACACGATCTAATGGTCGACGAAGTGACATTAAGAGAAATCTTCAATCTCAAAATCAACTACGCCGCAACGTTTTCTACTTTTACACATTCCATTAGTCTGTTGTATTTTTATTTTCGCGAGTTCCTATTATATAAAAAATAACTATTTATCTCGAAAACATTCAATTTGGTTGATTGATTCTCTATGAAATAATTTGGCTTATGCAGATAATATAAAATTTTACGACTTCACACGAATTCGATTATTAAACAATTCGTTCAAATAAAATGTCGACTATATTAAATATTCAGTTTTACTATAACTTGGCAGTCAGAAATTATTATTTTAAGATGAACTACTTATGATAAGATAGTTCTTAAAAAAATAATCTCTGTATCGATTGAATTTTTTCTAACAGAGTTGAATTCAATAAAAACATAATTCAAAGTCTTTAATCAATCTTTTGTCACGATAAAAACCAGATTAGTACTCCTATTATTCCAAAAGGTATCATAAATGAATAAACTTGAAATTTCAACAGTAACAATCATGCCATTTCTTTTCACGGTTGACAAAAACGAAAAAAAAAAGAAGAAATAAAGAAACTAGCTGCTGTACACACGCATATGACAACAACCACAACAACAACAACAATAATAATAAAGAGAAGAAGGACAAAACAAAAACCTGAGTTAAAAACAAACAAAACACAAGAGTACCAAAAAACAGACAAACAAAACGATGAAAAAAAAGAAAGAATATGTAGGAATGCATTCTCATCATCGCATTAGTTTTGTTTCGATATATGAAAGACGATAGTGGAGTATAGATTATTTGTTCATTCTCTCAAGATTCACTTTTAATTATTGTTGATGATGGCGATGATGTTATCGATTTTCCTACATCAGCTATATTAACTGAATATGGATGAAAATCGTATCGTCGCCGTTGTCGGGCTGCTGCTACTCCACTATGAACCATAGTTGGACTTGTTTGTGTATGATACATATGTGTACCCGTATGGACTTTTAGATTTCCTTTTGTTGTAAATGCTCGACCGCAAACCTAAGAGGAAGAAAAAAAATCAAGAGAGATATTAATGAACGATGATCAGTCGGTTTATTTTTAAAATAGCTTACATCACATTTATATGGTTTTTCACCTGTATGTGTTCGATTGTGTATTTGTAAAGCGGAAGCGGATGAAAAATTTTTTGAACAAACATTACATATATGTTGTAAAATCGATGATGAACGTCTCGAATGATTTTTTTCATTTATTGATCCATCGTCAACCAACATTTTTGATGACATAGACAGATCTTCACCACTTTCACTCATACTATTATCTTTATGTTCATCGTTTATAGATGTATTCGAATTATTGGTATTATTAAAGGCTGCAGCAGCGGCTAAAAATGGAAATGTACTAGCAGCTAGATTTGGAAAAAATTGTGGATTAAATAAATTAAATGGTGATAAGTGATTCGTTAAATTTCCATTTGAATATGTCGATGCAGCAGCGGCGATAGCTGCAGCTAAAGAATTCGAAATAGCTGATGATTTTGTATCATCATCTTCTTCAACTTCTTCACGTTTGACTGATTGACTATCACGCTACAAGACAAAAACAAAAACAAATCTTCAATTTTTTCAATAAAGCAAAACCTACTTGAACATCTATTTGCGATTCGTCATCAATACTTGATAACGAACGTTCAGAATCAATTAAACGTAAAGCTTCTTCAGCTAATGATGCATTATTAGGATCAGCTAGAAAAGTAAAATGAAAAAAGAAACTTATTTCTATTTAAAAAATTTCTTACTAAGATGTTCTTTTAAATGTGAACGTAATTGTTCAATAGTATTAAATTGCTTTTGGCAAATTGAACACGATTTAGATTTTGTTGTTCCACTATCATCCGTAGTACGATGAACATTCATATGTGTTTTAAGATTTCCTTTAGTAGAGAATGCTCGTGCGCATATTCGACATCGAAATGGACGTTCACCTGTATGTGTACGATAGTGCATTTTAAGTGCACTTTGACATGATAATATACGTTTGCAAACAACACATTCATTTGAATCACTTTTATTCGTTGTTCGTTCGAGTTTTTCAATCATATCTTTCAGTTTGGCCATATTCGGATCTTCGGGTTCACCTTCATGTTCTTCCATTTGAAATTGTATTGATGATGATGATGATGATGAAATTTGTTGTTCTTCATCGGATTTTAATGATGTTGATGATAGATGATCACTAGTTGATAAATCAAGTGGAGATGTTGCTGATCGGTCATCCTCTTCAGTTTGAATTATTAATCCACCTCTTCTATCGTCATCTTCTTCTTCGTCGTCATCGTCTTCATCTATTTCTTGTACGGTTTCTTCTTCTTCCTCTTCTTCTTCTTCTTCATCATTATTTTTATTTTTATTATTATTATTATTATCATCATCGATTGCTACCGGCGATATTACTTTATGTAGTTTATCTCGATGTTGTTCGATATGCTTTTGTAATGTTGAACGAGAAGGAAAATTATGATTACAAATAGTACATGAATATCTTTGTTGTGTTTCAACATTTTCTAAGATGAAAAAGAGAATTTTTGGTTAAACTTATTCTAACAATCGAATTTTGATTTACCTTCATTTTCAACATGATTTTGTTTTTGTTGATAAACTTTTAATTGTTGTTGAAATTGTTTTATCATTAATGTTTGTAAACGCTGTTGTTCTTGTATAGCTGCTAATTGAATTTTTAATTGATATAATTCCGGATCAATATTTTCTCCTGACGGATGATTTGTATTTGTATCATGTAATGTTTGCATTCGAGCTTCATTTGCATGAGACATTCTTTTGAAGAAAAAAAAATTTATTATGATGATTTTTATTAATATTATTCTATTATTGATTCAAACGAAATCGAAAGATGATATGCAAAAATATATAAAGACGAAGACGACGATGAAAATGAAAATGAATTAAAACTAGATAGAGACGCGCGATTATTGTTTATTAGACGGCCGTCTACTGCTAGAAGAAAACAGCTGATCTCTTCTTTCTTCTCTTTCGAGATATATTACATTTTTTTCGAGATATATATATATTTAAATGCATAATCTATATTTATATATAGATCTAACACGCACATGGTAAACAACCGACGACAAAAAATAAAATTTTATTTCAATCAGTTGAATGTGTCAATCTAATTTAAACATGTTCTAATATCCTCTCCAGTTCAATACTTACATAGCTATACATTACTGATCAAAATAAATGTTTGCATCGCGCCCGAGTTACATTATCTATATAGATATACTTATATATGCACCCGAACCTATCTATCTTATTCCTAATGCATGAATTATATTCAATAAAAACATTGTTGGCTCCTTCTTTTTTTTATATCAATGTTCTCTATCGATGCACATATTATTTTGATTGCGTGTTTCGCCTTCTAGAACGAGCATATAAACGGACGGGCGCAAAGAAACAATAATATCTATGAATATAAGCCAACAATCGTTTTTTCTTCTTCTGCTGCTTCTTCTTCTTCTTCTCTGTCTCAAACACCCAATCCAGCAACGCAAGCAAGTTTGTTTTCGATTAAAATATCGATACACGAACGTACCTCGGTCCGCTTAGTAATAATAAGAACGATGGAAAGAAGAAACAACACCACAAAAGGAAAGAAGAAAAATATGAGGAAGATTAATCAACATATAAAATAGATAATAGCAGTCTAATATCTGCTAATGCTGCACAATACTACAAATACATACACGTACTCAAAACTAAGAGAGTTTACTCGTGTGTATAATCATCGAACCCCAAAAACGAAGAATAAAACAAAAAGAAAGTCGTTTACAGCCATATGTCTCTACTATTCCAATCGAGCGAATTTATGAAAGCAAATATGAGCATACTCTTCATACGTACAGACATTTATGATTATGGTATTGCAATGAGATGACAACAAACGTCGATAGAGAGAACGATATATAATTCCTCATCATAATAATAAGAGAAAGAACGATATAGACAAGCAGAGAAACTCATAAAAACATATAAATCAGTTATAAGAGATGGCAGACAATCGATTTATTCATATTTATTAAATGATAGAACAATATTTCTTATTTTCATATTAAAAAAAAAAGAAGAAGAAAGACACTGTTTTGATTTCCTATAAACACAAAAGAAACTACCCATGGAACATAGATGACAACAAAAAAAAATTAATATGCATCACTAACGCTTGAGAAAATATTTTTCTTATATTTTATGGCGAGCCCATTTTTCATCGTCTCAAGTAAATATATGATAACGCTTAATCGGATAAAGGTATTAATAAAATTTTATTGTGAAATATATCGATACGCACAACGAAAAAAGGTTTGAAAATTTTCAATTCATCACTCTTACCTTTTTCTATTCTTCTTAATTTTCAAAACGAAAAAACTAAAATAAAACAACCCGCAAATGTCGTGCTCCTGTATTTTATACTAAACTATAACTATTCACAATAATATTACAATCATCAAACATATAGTTATTGTTCTCCTAGACGAAGCAAATGCACACGCGAACTATAATCCATGAATAGTGTATGCATGCACAAACGCTAATAATGTTGATACAAGGCTTTATGAATCGATATATACATACACACGTCGTAGCAAAATTGTATTTATATTTTAGTATGATATCTGTTAGAATATCTATATAAATGTCATCACCATCTTACCTTCTCTATGTGAAAAACTAAAATCAATTTTTTTTTCGTTTTCTTATTTTACGAATATACAAATGTTAAGTAATTACGTTGAACATACAAAAAAAACGAGGGACGAGGAGGAGGCGGAGGAGGAGGAGAAGACTCATCATCATCAAATACAAAAATGAGGGATAAACGAACCAAAATGCTCAGTAGATCTACCGAAAAGATTAACATGCTTGTGCACATTGTTTGATAAAGAGAAGACAGAAGAAGAAAAAAAAGAATTTTTTCCTTGTTATAAATGCACGCTCTCTCATTTTATGTTAACAAGCATCATTCGAAACGATCATCTTAATCATAATCATTTGTACAAATTTCTAATTATATTTTACTGATGACTTTGTCCATATGTTGCCGTTTCATACATAGGAAACAGCATGAGCTTCTGTCATTTTTTTTCTCGAATACATACCCTGATGTGAAAAAAATTCTTCGCCAGAAATACAAAAAAAAAATGGAATTAATAATCTATTCTCTATCGCATTTGCTCGATGGTCAAGAATTTTTTTCTCTTTCCTTTTTCATCGGTCATTTGTGAATCTGCTGCTGCTTCTCACATGCATGCATGTATATATATATATATATATACATATATTTTTTAATATTTAAACAAGAAAGCAACGAACAGATGTCGATATGTCCAAGAGGATGACGACGGTCAATGCCGCTTTCATTTCTATAAATATATAGATATATATATATATATATATATATATTTATGCGCATAAATCTAATTATAAATAGAGAGACGAGATTTGAAAACATATATATATATATTCAATAATATGATCTTCAATACATATACTATTCTTTTTATAATGTGTATGTCTGTTTCATCATATATTGACATTCGCCTTTTCTGCTGTATTTCTTCTTTTTTTTTTATTTACCGATGGCCTTTGGACGCTGTATAGAAAGAAAAAGATTAATTAGAATAAAGATAGAGATTAATATTTGCGCGTGCTTGCCTCTACTTTGACAAATCATAATTCATGTTTAATTCAATAAAGGTCAATGCTTTCTGTATATTTAAATGAAATGCAAAATAGCTAAATGAAGTCGAGTTCATTTAATCGTTTGATAGAGTAAAAAAACTATATAACAATGAGAATATAGGTCGAAATATTCAATTTTGCACTTATGCATGGATGATTAATGTACTGAAAATATTGATTGGATTTTTGATTCATAAAATACTTGATACTGTTTATTCTATGTGACGAATGTTGTTGTTTTGACTTTTTTCAGACGTACGCGCATGTCGATCAGGAGATGTTTTTGTGTTGTAACCTTGAATAAATAAGCGTGTTACCTGTAACACGTTGTATATGTGATGCAAGCATTATTCACCAATTTTGAAGTCATTCGACGTTGAAAACAATTGAGTAAACAGAAAGAAAAAAAGAAACCTGTGTGTGCTGTAATATTTAATACTTAACATTTGCTTTTCTTATATTCATTTCTTTTATTGTTACTGCTGGAGGAAGAATATACTCAATGGCAGCTACACAAAATGACATACAACGATTGATTGAATGTTGCATTTGTTGTGACTATCTTACCGACGTACGCGAAACTCCTTGTTGTCATCAGTTGTTTTGCCATGCATGCATTCTATCATGGCTGCAAACATCAACAAAAAATTGTCCACGATGTCGATCAACAGCACTCACAGAACATAATCTAACGAAAAATTACGTTATAGAACGTTTTGTTGACAATCTTGAATTTGATTGTCCACATAAATTGCAAGGTTGCCCAGCAAAAATACCACGATGTGATCTGCCAAAGCATAAACGATTATGTTCATATTCACCGGAAAAATTGGCTCGTAAAAATCAAGAAAAATTGGCAGAATTACAAGCTTTATTAAGAAAATATAAAGCTCCAAGAAGTCGTGTTACCGATAAAGCTTTGTTCGATTTGGCGATATTATTTCATGCCGAACATCAATATGCGCATGCAAGAGAATGTTTAACATTGATTAAGACTAAGAAAAAAGTACCAGAAATGGTAGTTCTTCAAGCACGCATCGAACGAGATGATGGCCATTATGATAAAGCTTTGGAATTATATACGCAAGCTTATGCTTCTGCATCATTGATTCCCGAACGTACTGAATTACTTTTAGACAAAGGCCACATATATATCAAAACAGCACAATATGGCCAAGCAAAAGATACTTTCAAACAGGCTCTGGATCTTTTAGAAGACGATGATCGTTCGCAAAAAAAAGCTGAAATATTGAATGCTTTTGGTCTTGTAGCAAAAAAATGTTCAGAAGTATGAATAATGATATTTTTGTTTTCTCTCTTCTACTTTCATACATATTTGTTTTATTTATAGTATGATCAAGCTATTTCAGCTTATAATGATGCACTTGAAATAGTTGATACAAATTCCGATGTTTGGTCTGAGATCATATCGAATCTAGCTGGTAAATAGCTTGAATGGTTCTTTTTCTTTATTGAATTATTTTCTGAACTTCTAGACATTCATCGCAAGAAGGCTAATTACAATGAAGCACGCGATCTCTATTTAAAATCTCTTAAACAGATGGAATCGATTTATGGGCAAAATCATCCATCTATTGCTGATATAATGAATAATCTAGGAATGTTATCTAAAAAAGAAGGCAAATATATTGAAGCATTAGATTATCTTAAACAAGCAATAAAAATTTCTAAACATTATTATGGTGACGAACATCCAAGTATTGGAATATATCTTACAAATATTGGTGATATTTATCGAAAAGTATAAAAACCCTATGAACTCATTTTCAATGTGTGTTTTTTTAAATTTTTAGCAGAGCGATTTTAAAACAGCTGAAGGAACTTATAAAGAAGCAATAACAGCACTAGAAAAAGCGTTCGGACCAAATCATATCGAAGTCGCTGAAGTTCTTAATTCTATGGGCTTAGTTTTAAAAAAACGAGCTGATTATGATGGTGCTCAAAGCCATTATGAACGTGCTATTCGTATTGTACACAGTACATTCGGTGAAGATCAAGAACATTACAAATTAGGTGTTTATTATAATAATCTAGCTGATGTATATCGTAAACGTAATCAATTCGATACTGCATTACAACTTTATGCAAGAGCGTTAACTTCTATTGAAAAAACACTGGGTCCTCAACATTCGGAAGCAGCTGAAATTTTACATAACATTGGACAAGTTCAACATCAATTAGGTTTGTTGTTAATTTGATAGTAAATTATATATTTACGATTTGTATTTTGTTTTTCGTTTTTAGGAAATTATAAAGAAGCGATCGATTATATAAATCGAGCTTTAGCTATTGTAAGAAAAGAGTTCGGTGATAAACATTATAAATATGGAATGTTTCTTAATTCTCTTGGTCTAACATATGCCATGATCGATGATTATACAACTGCCTATGAACATATCAAACAAGCCTTACAGATTCTTTTAACTGCGTTAGGAGGGAATCATGTTGAAGTCTGTGATGTTTATTCGAATCTCGGTGATGTTTGTATGAAGCTTGTTGCGGAGTCTGATCAACAGAAAACAAAAAATAAAAATCCCAATGAAAAACAATCAAAACTGGACGAAGCAAAAAAGTATTATACAGAAGCGCAACGTATCGCACAAGCAACATTCGGTGCTGAACATACTAAATCAAAGCAATTTCTTTCTCTTTTGTTTATTGTTGATAATTATAATTCATTGTAATCGAATCTCTCTTTATTTCTCTTGATAAATGATCTGTATTAAATAAAATTATTTTTTTTGCAAGTGAAATCAATTGAAAGAATTTCATGTTTACTACTTACGAAAAAATTTCATTCACGCGAATCATTGATGGATAATTATTCATGAATGATTTATATTAACGAATGCTTGATTAATTCCTCAGCAATGATTCGCACGTCTATGTACAAGTATTTATTTTTACCTTTTCTCGTTTACTATTATGAATTATTCATTTATATGAAATGACCCCTGGGAGAAAATCAATAATTTTTGAGAAAGATAACGAATAGCCGGCGGTAATGGATACACCATTGTTTAAAAACTATGAAGTGTCATGCGGCTTGTCCAAACCTAAAGATGTGACATTTTGACAAATTGTTTTGCAATTATCTCGAAAGGCATAAGAGCTAACAAGATCGTTCAAACATCATTCGGCGCAGCTCATCATAATCTATTTATGTTGCAAAAATGATTCAGTTTGACTGAACTCTCGTGTTTCTAGAAATGTTCTATCATCGCGTAACACTGTGACAAAAAGGACCAGTTTTCTCTAGGACTGCGTATAAAACTCTAATTTTTTGACAAATTATTTCTTCAAATGAAATGCGTATGGTACCAGTTTTGTAGGAAATTGAATGGGCTTTCAAGCAGTAAAAAATATTTTTTCTAAACTATTTTCGCTCAGATAAAAAATGCAAAAAACAAACGTAATGCTGTGATACCTTTCTTTTGGCGACCAAATTTGAAGTACTTTACATGCTTAAAAATATTTAATGTTTATATATATATTGATCACTGCCGTTCATATATCCTTCTGTAAAAAAAATCAAGTTGCTTCATTGAAATAGGAGCTCAATAATTGTACAGTAAGTTAGAAACTGTACACGAGCGTAGAAGTTGTCCTGAAGAATAAGAGTAAAAAATAAATAGACCAATTTGTAGAGAATCAAATTCTGCTTCGGATGGTATATTAGTCTGCATTTGTTTTTTAAATTTCTTGATTAGAAAATTGGAAATACGACTTTTTAAAACTTTAAAACGCTGTTTTCGATGCCAAAACTCGATTTTTTAAAGAAAAAATCCTAATTCGTCATCAGCGTAAAAAACTCTACCAGAAAAATACGCTTAGATCTGTTCATACAAAAAAACAAATCTAAAACTTGATCAGCGGAGTAGCGCGTTACGTGGACAAGCCGCATATATTTTTGTCAAATGATTATCGTCGCTATAATGCTTCTGGCATACAGAAATAACAATATCGTCTGATTGAAAGAGTATGGTGCCCTTTTCCTAACCCATGAAAAAAACAATAAGAAAAAATATGAAACTTAGCAGATCATTTGTGTTCTATATATACGCTACGATTCCATTTTACTGCATCATCACAGCATTCTAGATGATGAAACAGATATTTTTTTATTATATGTTTTAATATGTTTTGAGTGATTATTAGTTAAAATTAACATAAGAAGAATCTTCGATAAGAAAATAATCTAAATTGTTTTCCCCCGAGTCATTCAGAAAACCAAATTTTGTCGTTAATCAAACTTAAACATTGCCTAATAGCGCAACGCTTGCACTCCGATTAAATCACATCGAAATCTTATGATATATGCAAGGTGATATCCTGTTTCGAAAAGCACGTTCATAGATGCTGGACGATGATATCATTTCCTGTAGTTATTTGTATGACTTTGACAAATAGGAAATCTTATTTTCTTGAGTTCAATATGATAATAGATGATGTCATAGAAGCGTTTGCATCGAAAAGTAATTGAACCTTTATGTCGAACTTGATTCATTCAATTGATCAACTTGTTTTGAACTTAATTTAAAGGCCAAGATAAAGTTAACCGTTTTTTTCTCTATTTAAGGTTAAGTTGATTGACGCCCATGCTAAGACCTTTTGCTCTTCATGAGATATGCAGTTAGGAGTACAACAAGGATTTTCTTGACTCTAACAAATAAGAATCATTTTTTGGAATCTACTGAATGTTCACTACGGATTATTCTTTTTTAACATTCAATCAGAAAATGTTTTTTATTACAATCACCATTGCTAATCCTACTTTGTATCATTGCTTCGTTGTTCTTTTTGTTTGCTTCTTGATTTGCCCTGTCTGATACTATTTATCAATTATTTATAATCCTAATAAAAACTAAAATCCAATATACGTATAGTAATAAACTGTATCGAATTTGTCAATATTCTATAAAAAAAACACTTTTCTTTTGCTATGCTAACAGTAAATACTATTTTGTTGTCAACTTGCCTCTGAGTTTATATTTGTTCTATGATTTTATTAAAAATACATTAAATTACACGCGTGGTTTATAAAGCTTCATCTTCGTTGTAGACGTTTTTGAGATGAGACCCATGCTTTGAAGCCAATCTAAACGTATCTGAGGAACGGTTGTTGGTCGTCGATAGGGAGTTGTTATTGTTGTAGTATTCCAAAGTGGATAGTCGGTTTTCGGCATCGGTCGACGAATACTATTTGGAACAAATACTTTTAAAAAACAAGCCAGTAGTGAATACAATACGAAGATAATGACGCGCCAGATGTTCATTTTATTGAGACTATATGAGATGATTTGTAAGCGAAAAAGTGAAGGAAAAAAAAGCGAATGAAGGAGAATTTTGTACAACACACATACCAAGGTAGATACATGTAAACACATTTTTACCAACTTAATGTCAAGGTATCACGTGTTCAAATATATCTACATTTATGTATTGATTTAGAGTTCCTGTTTATGTCTTTCCGGTAAAGTCATTTTTATTTTCTCCCTATAGAATAGCTGTTTCAATTATTTAATGGGCACGTTTTTTTTAATTTTTTTCATACGAAAAAATTCAACAAATATAAAGTCTGTTTTTTATTCATCTTATTTTCAAAAATTGTCTTTTAGCAATAATTGAATTAAATTTATACCAATTATAATGCATGAAGTTGGTAGTAAGCGTCCAGCATGACCAGGAGATACACATATTGCGCGTGTTTGACCAGGTGAACCACGTGGTGGACAATTTTGAGGATACCAATCAGTGCAATAAACTGGCGTACACGAACTCGCTTCTGAGCAAAACCATAAAGTACGATAACCAATATTTTTAGGACTACAGTTTTGTGTTGTACAGCATTCACATCGACAATCCTTGCCAATGATTCGTTGTAAAATACATAATATAATAGTTAGAAAGTAGACAAGATGAATGAAGATACGCATGTTTATCGAAATTTTATATAATGAAACGACGCAGTCGATGAAATCGTAGTTATGTAGAAAGATATATATTTTAATTTGGCAATTTGGCGTAATTTTCTTAGCTTTATGTTTCGACTTACAATTCGATTTCTCTTTGAAGTTTCAAGGCAATTTTTAGTCTATGTTGAATGACAACGACAAACATGTTTTCGCATTACACTGAAGACAAAAGACTCAAAGAAATAATCATCATGGAGGAGTCTTAAACTATCACTAGATACGTGGGATAAAGTAAACTTAATATTTTTTTAGGCTAATAGACAAATACTAATGTTATAAATTAAAATAATCAATAGAAAGAAAATCATACTAAAATGCAATCGTATCTTGTAGTTTTAATCAAAAAGAAATTAAATTAAGTTCTGGTTGATTTAAAAGACATTGTTTTATTAATAATTCTGCTATGTACTATTTTAAATTTAATAACATTGAATCTTGTTGATTTTATCTTATCAGAAAAACAAATTAGATGAATCCAATATTTTATATTGAAATCGAAGGTTTGTTGAAGTAGTAATCTTTGATGTTTGACCTTCATTCTTCAGATTAAAAAAAAGAGAGAGAACGAGCTATACTATGTTAATTTGTAAATCTTTTTATTGGATTTTTCGTTCTACTGTCTTATGTACAAAGGAGAGAGCGAGACAATACAATCGAAGTCTATTTTACTTTCATCTCTTTTTTAGTGATAAAAAGTATGATTAGCAGTAAACGAGTAAATTCAGCTATCTTGGGTGAAACTTAAAGTAACGGACTCGTTCGACATTGATTCAAAGCTTATTATGTTTAATGCTGTTATATTATTTTAAAGTTATTGTTTCACAGGATCGAGCCATCGCACTCAATAGTGAATGTTTCATAAGAACTATTGTAATTCTTTCTCTGGTAGTACAGCTTTTAACTATCAAAATAAAAGGCGAATCATTGATCAGTAAATCCTGGTAGTCAGATGATCCATACACTCACAGAGTCACATCCACTGTGAATCATGCTAATCAACTAAGCATTTCGTTTGATCGCATGAGCAACGAAAACATGAATATGTTTAAATGTATATCAAGGTTCTTCTCCAATGAACATGATTGTTCAATTGCAATTTATCAACAAGCTAAATCATTCGCCCGTTTTGCAGTTTTTAATGTAACTTATTTATCATTTCATGAAATCTATTTTACGGGTCTTCATTCAACAACTTCAGCACACAATAAATAACTATTCCAAATAATTGATTCAGATCACTTTCCAAAATCAATTGATATGTTGAAGAATTAGAATCGTCATCAGAAGAATTAAAACAATCGTGTTGAAAAATACATCTTTTCAAAGAAATTATCAAAGATTTATTTTTGATCCTCGTTGGTTCGATAGGGAACCTTTTTATCAGTGTTCATTTGCCATGTCTCATATTAAGTTGCATATTAAATATACTCATGAAAATGCATTTGCCACCGCTAATAGTTTTGGCGGGGCCAAATTTATTGACATAATCATATATAGTACACTCTGATTATAAGACTGACTGAATGGATAGTTCTGAAATAAAATGAAATACAAAGTTTCACACATGTCTGTTTAAGAGAGATATCCCATGAAGGTTGATCTTTTTATATGATCGTTGACACTTCGAATACACCATCATATATGTGACTGCCAGTTAACACTTGTCCACTACACCATCGTATCATTTTTTCCACGCTCATCAATGCTTCCATCAGCCAAGGTAGATGTTCGCTCGATGCTGATGCTCCAAAAAGACTAATCCACCATCGATAGATGCCCATCACCCGATGAGCTAAAGCATGATTGCTCACTGTAGCGTAGTTCGAAGCGAGCACTCCGTTGACGACAATGGTGCCTGATTTAGTAAGTGGAGCATAGAATCCTTGTTGTTTCGTCAGCTTAACTTTGATAACTTCACCGGGGAGGATTTGGTCGTTGTGAAGCATTTGTACTCGATCGCCCACACGAAACTTACCGGCGAAACGAGCGTCACCAGAATCGAAGTCAAATATAAGATGGTTGCAAGAGACAAGAAGCGTAGAGGTCAAGTTGGACCCGGCCGATTGTACTTCAATTGCAAGAAACTCAAAGAGATCTTCACGCTTCGCATGAATGAAACCGATGATCGGCTCGTAGGCATTGTCTTTATTGACAAGTACTCGATCACCAATGGTGGCAGCTGACAGTGCCTTGAAGCTTCCATCTTCGAGAATCAGTTGGCTTGAGCCAGGAAAGCACTTCAGTGATGGTGGTGCAGTGCTACAAGTGTATTTCGTGCAAACATTCCCCGAAAATGAGTCACAAGTACAAGATGTCTCATAATTTAAGCTACCGTTGACACCAATGTCATTAATGCTTATTAAAGCAATGAGAACAAGAAATGATATTAGGGTCGACATTTGATTGACAATTATATTACGCATATTATTCGTCGTCTGATGATGAATTTGGAGGTCGTCAGTGAGTTAAATGTGTCTTGAAATGTAAATGCATTTTGTAGTTATGGCGAGAAAAGACATAAATGTTACGGATGAAAATTTTCTATTATACAATTAATCAAATTCCACATAGTAGAACTGACTACCGGTTGCTATTCAAAAAGGGATGGATGTGGGCGATCAAGAAAATTGAAAATCAAGAGTGATTACGCACTTATCAAAATGAATATTGTCTACAGCTAAGATGGTAGCTGCCACCCTGTTGGCTCAATTAACTATATTGATTCACATAGATCTATGATCAATATTTCAGAATATTTCCTACTTTGGTGATTATCTTAATCGGTGTCCGCTCAGGTAAATGCTGCGTAACACTATTTTCATATTGAAAATTACTCGAGACGATTTACTGATGAAAGCAATGCTATTTGATTTTTCACTATCGTCGATGGTGAAGTGTTCGATTCATAGAGTCTTCCTCAGATCATTGTTACTTTACCGGTAACGGCAGTAATAGGCGAGCGCATTTCCCCCATAAATCGAACTCTTCAAATCATGTCTGATATCGACTATGACGAAAAATCTACTGTGCAGCCCATCTACAATGCACCGGCCAAACATTTGGGTGTTTCCATTTTGATATTATCAAAGATGCGACGTAGGTAATGTTAAAGCAATATTTCAGGCTCGTATTCAAAAGAAATACTGCTATAAACTATTACAATAAGGTTTAATAAAGAACTGTAACTACGACGCATTCGGAAAAAAATGGTTTGCAATATACTCTAAAAGATACTTTCGATCACTACGCAAGTTCTTATAAATTCGCCATTTTCTACCGAAGAACGTTAATTGCTTTTCTAGTTAAAGAGAAAATCGTCCCATTCAATTTGATTTATATATAGTGAAATGGTTTACAATCAAATTTGTCGCATAGACTCATTATGTTTTTCGAAACGCATATGTAGGATACAGTTATTTGTAGAAGCGAAAGACGATGAATAGCTGTCTAATTCGAGTTCGAATATAAATGGAGAAAAGAAAAAGTTAAACTAAAACTAAATCTAGGAATAGATTTAGTTTTAGTTTAAGTTTCCCATATATGCGACATATGAATGCATATATACTCCTACAAACACACTCACACCCAAAGGTATATAGCTCAAGCACCACCCTGGGTACTCGCACCAACATTTGAGCACTCCTCCGTGGTACTCATCACCCACAAACACATTTGAAGTACTCGGGTACCCTCGCACCCCTTCTTGATAGCCATCCTATCCGCCCCCTCACTCGCACGGCCACCCACATCCACTTCATCTTAAACTAAATCTAAAATGAAAACTAAATCGATTTCTATCACTTATTTTAGAGTTGATACCATGCAGTTGGGTGTCCATTTGTATTCGAATTCGAACTAGGAATCTCATGACTAATTCAGAAACAATCGATAATATAGATAACTGAATGAATCTTAGAGTCTCTGAATCGTTCAGCAAAAATTGTAAATATATCCCTGCTAATCTAAGATGACTGTCATTTGGCCAAGCCACTCATGACATAGGTGCTCACCGGGACATTGAATACTAAATACAAAACTGGATTGCACGTATCTTATTCATACTTCTTATATAGCTAGTGTCCTGTAGTCTATGCCAACTGCGCTAATGCCTTCTATTTATACTACGATCAAATTAAAGTCTAAAGAGCCGTCAACTAATTAGTAACACAATATGTTTAACTACCGATCTGAAATGATGTGGGCTATCACAAGACTGTACTATTGATTCTGGCGAAACGAATGTCACCCACCACGTTAATGCTGCCTTTCTCTCTCTAATTCCTTGCTTAAAGGAGAGCGATAACACATTTTCAAAAGTATACATCGTAACATATTATGATTTGTCACAACACTAGAAAAAATTGCAGAATAATAAACGGAAAACCGTTTTCGATCAGACATAAAACTGAAAAAGGGTTTATCAATTTGCAATGAAACATAAACTTGTTTTCGGCTTTGACGTAGATAATAAATCTTTTTCTGTTTATGATATGAGAAAAGGATTTATCAGATACTTCAAAAATGGAAAAAGGGGTTTCTGTTCCATTTTAAAGCCATAAATCTTTTTTTTACAGTGACGAGCGCATTGCTTATTCTTGAGAAAAGAATGTCGTCCATCACATCAGCTCTACTCTTGTGTCTTTACTTCCTTGCTTGAAACAGTCACAGTGAATTGGTAAATGATGAACTTTACTTGGTGATCTACAATTTTTTAACAGGGTACACTAGTGTTTGGAGCTGTTCGGTTTCATCAATATCGTTTACAACATGTTTTTTATATGTAATAAGCAATAAAGGTGGTATCTTTCAGTTAAGCTTCAAATTTTCATATATCCTCTATAAAGATAAATTTGAACTGCACGACTTCAACTATTTTTCGTCTCAATTCCACCAGTGGTTAGGATGTCGAAATCGTTTCAAACAGTAAAAGACAAAATATCATAAAATACTCTATCATTACAAAAGTTATCACAATTAAAAAGTTAAATATCAAATAGCGATTCCGTTCACTCTTGTTTACCTTCAGGCGGGATGAATCCATAACTTTCAGACAGGCTGAAATATACGACTTTTCTTGTTAATTACCTTTAGCAATCATTTTGTGTTAGACCATGATGAAACTGCTACGAATAGCCAGCAAACAATAGTCTACATTTCGGCAAAAGTCACAGTTCAAACTGTTCAATCCTAGTGAAGATACTTAAATAAAATTATTTTCTTCACATGTACAACTACTTATAAGCGTTCCTATCTATCATTGATATTCTATGACCTGCATACTGCTAGCGAATTATGTGCCTTAACCGTTGCCACTTGCAAGACTTAGATAGAGAAGAGCTCTTATTTCCTATTATTGTTTTTGAAAGTGCGTCCCACTCTTTTAAAAAAAAAACAAGTGGTTGCCAATTCTACTCTGTTAGATTTCATTAATTGTATAATAGCAAATTTCACTTTGAAGACATTTAAATTTGCTTCATCACCATAACTACATAATGTATTTGTATTTCAAGACACATTTAAGTCGCTAGCGTCCTCCAAACTCACCGTCATACAACTAATAATACGCGTACTATAATTGCCAATCAAATGTCGTTACCGCTGATGCAGATGCTACAGACGCTTATCGTTCTTTCGATTAATGTACACGAAGAAAGTCGTGCTAATAACCGTTTCGGAATATCTATGATAAAACGTTTTGATTCGACTTGTGTCTGTCACGAAGTTTCCGTGAGTGATTGCATGCAATACACATGTACAACAGCAGCACGAGTTAGC